TTCTGTGGATTAAATTGAATGAAAATACAAAAATCATGGTCTTATGTTCTAGTTTCGTGAGAAATCACCCACCAGCTGTATGGGTGTACTGCTGACGTACATTAAATGTGGCGTGTAATGGGTTAGTCTTGCCTTACACAGGGCCTGTTGCCTTGGTAAAAGCAGTTGGAGGTAAAACCTGTCACAGTAGGCTGAGTCACAGAACGATAATTTTGTGTGTGCGCGTGTCCGTGTCCGTGCGAGAGCGAGACAGAGTGTGTGTTTGTGAGTGTGTGCGGCAGTGCAGCATAAAGAACTTGTCTGGGCAGCCCAGCTCTACTATTATTTATAAGGAGCAATGAAAAAAAGCAAGATAACATTTTCACAAAACCCTAAGGAGAGAAAAGATTAGCCAATATTTATCTTTGGTGTTTGCTGTTCAGCAGGTCCTCTGTCAAACTGCTGCAGGGGTTACCCAACCGTAAACACACCATGTGGCAGAGGTGGGTGGGGGATGGGCTTGTCCTTAGTTTCTAGACATTAATAAATAGATCAAGAACTAAATGTCTCATCATTTCACATCTCAGAAAACCCTAGATAAGAATCGTATAAAACAGGCTGGTGCTCATATACTTAGAAACCTCGTGAAACAATTCACTTTGGCTGTTTTTGCATTTTTATTTTAGCATGGTGTCTGTTACGCCTGTTTTTACTTTGGTATATGGTTGTTCTCATTTAATAATGCAGAAATAACATGCATGTATTATAAGTATCTCAGAATAATAAGTGTCTTCTGGCTAGTAATAATAAGTATTTTCAATTCATAATGCTAATAAATGTAATATACACTTTTAATATAATTGTATACTTTGTTGGAAAAACATACACCTATCATAGCTGTTGTTATAGTCACACAAATCCTTATGGCTGTATTGAGTTTTGCACATCTCAGCCATTATTGTGTTTTTGATTTGAGGTTGTCAGCACCAGCACCTAAGTTGAGTTCCATTCAATATTCCGTGTTGGAAAAGTAAAAAACATACCGGAGAGCACTCTTATTGGCCACATTCCTGGGATTCTCCTGCAGGCAATGAGCAGCAATACTTTATCTATTGTAACTGATACTGTATATCTGCTGCTGCCTAGGCAGCAGAGTGGAAGAGAGAGAGAGATATATTAAAAAGGCTTGTTTTTCACCCTCAAGTGGATATTGTATTTTCAAAATATTTCTTATAACAGAGATTTATTGAAAAGTGCTTGAATCTAATGATTAGTAAGATGTAATGTGTCAGGTACGGGGATAGAACCTGCTGCCTTGTCACTGCTGGCACCATGGTCTAATCAGCTGAGCTACCCAGACCATAAACCTTTGATTTTACTATATGTTATTAGTAAGCCTCTGCCTCTACACACTGTTGTCCCGACAGGGGTGATGAAGGAGCCACCCCTTCAGGAGTCTTTGGAGCCAGCTCTGGTGGACACCCCAGCCAAGGAGCAGCGCTACATGAGCGGGCAGTACTTCTTTGAGTACCTGGTGGTGGTCAGCCTCAAGAAATCCAAAGAGGGTGCCTATGAGCCACAGATCATCTACCAGTTCCCAAAGGTGAGTCCGCTAGTTAGTAGAAACTCTGCATGTCTCCCAAAAGGGATAAGGAAGAAAAATGTGAAGAAGAAATGAAAAGTGCAAGGGAAGTCATTGAAGAGTCAGAGGGAGGTAGGAGAGAAGTGTTCAGGTAGGCCTTCAGCAAGGAAAGACAGGAATCTAAAAGTAGGGCTTACCCAATTAAAAACTTCCAGTAGTGGACTAATATTACTTAATATACCAATAATATGTGGTTGAAAGTTGCGGCACTCAAAATGTAACTTTATTCCATTAGATGGAAAGGTATACTGACATTTCAACGTCACATGACGTATTCCTGTAAAGGGAGAGATCTTTGTCAGAGGGATATAATTGGGCTCTATTAAAATTCGTCTTTACGCGATTCCTCGCTTCCCATCTCCTCGCCTCCTCCACAACCGTATTGGAGGAGAAGGTCTAAGGTCTCTCCCCTAGGACCTTCTTGCATTTTGAGGTTAAGGAGAGAGGAATTGAGGAAAGAGGAATTGAGAAAGAGCTCAAGTTACATCCCTCTGACAAAGATCTTGGTCTTTCTCTCCATCTCTTTGTTGCCCTCTTTCCCTCTCTCCCTCTGTTGTTCTCTCTCTCTGTTGCTCTTGCTCTCTTTCTCAGAGGGATGGGATGGTGAGATTCCAAAGAGAGGAGGAGGAAAAGACCCTGAAGGCCATCACACTCTTCTGTTTCCCTGAAGGCATCAACTGGGCCCCCCTAACAGAGTACCACAGGTAACACCGCACCTAATATGAAGGATTACCATCAATTTGGAAAGATGGGTGTATTGTTGAGTCATTTCAATGCTGACGTCTTAAAGCTACCAATAGACTTACAGTTGAAGTCGGAAGTTTACATACACTTAGGTTGGAGTCATTAAAACTTGTTTTTCAACCACTCCACACATTTCTTGTTAACAAACTATAGTTTTGGCAAGTCGGTTAGGACATCTACTTTGTGCATGACACAAGTAACTTTTCCAACAATTGTTTACAGACAGATTATTTCACTTATAATTCACTGTATCACAATTCCAGTGGGTCAGAAGTTTACATACACTAAGTTGACGGTGCCTTTAAACAGCTTGGAAAATTCCAGAAAATGATGTCATGGCTTTAGAAGCTTCTGATAGGCTAATTGACATAATTTGAGTCAATTGGAGGTGTACCTGTGGCTGTATTTCAAGGCCTACCTTCAAACTCAGTGCCTCTTTGCTTGACATCATGGGAAAATCAAAAGAAATCGGCCAAGACCTCCGAAAAAAGAGTTGTAGACCTCCACAAGTCTGGTTCATCCTTGGGAGAAATTTCCAAACGCCTGAAGGTACCACGTTCATCTTTACAAACAATAGTATGCAAGTATAAACACCATGGGACCACGCAGCTGTCATACCACTGAGGAAGGAGACGCGTTCTGTCTCCTAGAGATGAACGTACTTTGGTGTGAAAAGTGCAAATAAATCCCAGAACAACAGCGAAGGACCTTGTGAAGATGCTGGAGGAAACAGGTACAAAAGTATCTATATCCATAGTAAAACGAGTCCTATATCGACATAACCTGAAAGGCCGCTCAGCAAGGAAGAAGCCACTGCTCCAAAACCGCCATAAAAAAGCCAGACTACAGTTTGCAACTGCACATTGGGACAAAGATCGTACTTTTTGGAGAAATGTCCTGTGGTCTGATGAAACAAAAATATAACTGTTTGGCCATAATGACCAATGTTATGTTTGGAGGAAAAGGGGGTGGGGGGGTGGAACACCATCCCAACCGTGAAGCATGGGGTGGCAGCTTTGCTGCAGGAGGGACTGGTGCACTTCACAAAATAGATGGCATCATGAGGAAGGAAAATTATGTGGAGATATTGAAGCAACATCTCAAGTCAGGAAGTTAAAGCTTGGTCGCAAATGGGTCTTCCAAATGGACAATGACAATGACCCCAAGCATACTTCCAAAGTTGTGGCAAAATGGCTTAAGGACAACAAAGTCAAGGTATTGGAGTGGCCATCACAAAGCCCTGACCTCCATCCTATAGAAAATGTGTGGGCAGAACTGAAAAAGCATGTGCAAGGAGGCCTACAAACCTGACTCCGTTACAGACGGGCCTCTGTCAGGAGGAATGGGCCAAAATTCACCCAACTTATTGTGGGAAGCTTGTGGAAGGCTACCTGAAACGTTTGACCCAAGTTAAAGAATTTAAAGGCAATGCTACCAAATACTAATTGAGTGTATGTAAACTTCTGACCCACTGGGAATGTGATGAAAGAAATAAAAGCTGAAATAAATAATTGTCTCTACTATTATTCTGACATTTCACATTCTTAAAATAAAGTGGTGATCCTAACTGACCCAAGACAGGGAATTTTTGCTAGGATTAAATGTCAGGAATTGTGAAAAACAGAGTTTAAATGTATTTGGCTAAGGTGTATGTAAACTTCTGACTTCAACTGTACTCTCACTCACTCATCACTCACTCCCTAGTGAGACGTTCTCATTTGTCTTGACTGAGATCGATGGCAGCAGAAGGAACGGATACTGTAGAAGGCTACTGGTATGTTTCACTTTGGGTTTTCACTTGAGATTATTTATAGTGTGGTGAATGCCATGCCCATTATCTGTCTCCCTCTCTCTCTCTCTCTGTCTGTTTCTCCATTGTTCTCGTCTAGCCCCACGGCAACGGAGCTCGCCCACCCGAGGCCTACTGCATCATTAGCAGGTTGGCTTGTTTCGGACTCTTCTCCAAGGTAACCCGCCTCAAAGGTCATTGGCTTTCAGCTGACAGAAATTAGTGTTTTACCCAGAGACGTAAGCCTGGATGAGTTGAACTGGGCGGATCCCTGGCTGTAATGATGCTTCATACTTCTGAGTAATACTCTCCCTGGGACTTAAGTTATGAATCATGCTGACAACATCGTGCACGTGGTAAAAAAGAGATTAAGCCAACAACACCACACATGCGCAGATTTTACCATTTAAAGGGATAGTTCACTTTTTAAAATGTTTTTTGATCTGATACAATCCGTATCCACTAGCATTGCTACGTGCCCCAAAAATGCTAGACAGGATCTTCTGGCTGTTGTTAACTAACCAGCTAATAAACTTAAAAACATTCTGGATGAAATGGCAACTCTTGTCTTCATAAAGTGAACTATCCCTTTAAAGCTTCTAGGAATGAGGTGGTCCTCACTTATCACAGTTCTCCCTTGAAAATGTCAACAGCACATAACTTCTCTATAATCTCCCCTATCAGAAAAAAACGACAACAAGAAGACAACTGTTCATACCGCTAATGAGTCACGTGTGAAATTTGATTGAATTTCTCGTAACTACTGTGTTTATGTAACGGTGTGCTATGGTACTAGCAAATTACTCTGTATTGAGTATGAGCCTCTTAGACTGGTCTTTGGGTTTTGAAATGCCCTAGTTTGCAGCACAGTTCATACCTTCTCTCCCTTAGTGGCCCTTTATCATCAGCCCCTGTCTGAGGTCCAAGTCGCTGTATTTGTTTAGATCATAATTCGCTGCCTTTCAGTGGTGCCCCAAGACTTGTGAAGTGAATATTGACACCCATCACCACCACCACGCTGGTCCTTAGGCTACTGGAAATACTAAGTGCCACAGTTCATCAGATACTTATTACTGTATACTTATTACTGCCACACCATTTTGTGGTTTGTCGGTCTCTAATGTCTTGAAAAGGTCACCCAGGTAATTGTGTGTAGGCTAATTATTTAATTCCAATGGTGCACAATCACATGATATCAGAGCTGGATTATTCCTGTCTTTCTCTGCCGCAGATCTTTGACGAGGTGGAGAAGCGGCGCCAGATCTCCATGGCGATGATCTACCCGTTCATGCAAAGCCTCAGGGAGGCGCCGTTCCCTGCCCCAGGCAACACAGTCAAGATCAAGAGCTTCATCCCTGACAAAGGCACTGAGGTTAGCACCCTGACGTGTCCGATGTAACCACATGGCTAAATTGGCATAGCACAATGACATGCTGTTCCTTGAGACCTGGGTCATATTCATTTGGGAACACTGTATCAAAACATTAGGATTGGAATAATTGGTTGTAATGAAAACCAGCATACACAGTTCCAAGAGTTGAGAAACATCCACGTTGATAGCTGTAGCGGTCGGTGTCGTTTAAGATGAGGGAGGACGATTATTTTTATTATGAGCATGGCCTTATTTCTATTACAGCATATTGGATGACTGTCATTCATATTGCATTCACCCAGTTCAATGTAACATCGATAGGTTTAGGCTACTACATGATACTTGAATTTTCCCTATACCCATCATGAGGTTGCTACAACCTAGCCTATGAATTGAACGTTTACAACGTAGGTGCACACAGGTCCAGAGAAAAATTGGAGGTGACCGACAATGACACGTGGACAGACAGTGACATTCAATACCGCCTTGCACACTCTTGCTTGCATCTATCTGATCTAGGGTGTAATCATTAGTCCAACAGTTGCAAACGAGAGTTTCTATTGGACAAATTCAGGTATGTTTATCCCCGTTTCATTCCGTTTGCTTACGTTTAAGAAACGTTTTAACAGAATCAAAAGAATGAATACACCCCTGATCACACGTAAACACAGTTCACTTTCATAGCACCATGGTGCTACCCTACAGAGTGCTGTTGAGGCTACTGTGGACCTTCATTGCAAAACAGTGTGTTTTAATCAATTATTTGGTGACGTGAATATATTTAGTATAGTTTTATCTAAAAAGGATAACTTTTCACTATTTTTATGAAATTCACTGAGGATGTTCCCCACAATGACAGGTAAAAAAACAAAAACAACACCTTGACAGGTGAAAAGCAATATGGTAGAAACCTACCCAGGCCCTGTCACTAATGTGATCATCCAGGCCAGGAGAAGAGAATGGGCTGGGTGTATTCAGTAGGAACCAAACGGAAGCAAACTGAAGCCAACAAAACGGGAAGGGTCCTACGGTCCTACCAAAAATGATTGTTTCCGTTGCAAAAAGTAAAATGTTTTTCTATGGTGTATGACTAACAAATACACCCCTGGGTGAAGGGTACTCACCTTCCAAGCTACAGAAAGTAACGATAAACACACAATAAGCACACAGCTAGAGAGGAAGGGAGCTGGGAGTCATTAAAGGAAGGAGACAACACTAACAAGATGCACAAAGCTAGTTGGACATAAAGAGCCCAAGACAAGGAACACACACAGCTAGAGAAAAGGAGACACAATGCCATCAGTTGAAGATGCATTTACTAAAATGAAAAGGAAACATCCTATTTTCCTGGAATAATGCTGATGACACACACAGCCAACATGAAAAGAGGAACATCAATGCTACAGTGGGGAAAAAAAGTATTTAGTCAGCCACCAATTGTGCAAGTTCTCCCACTTAAAAAGATGAGAGGCCTGTAATTGTCATCATAGGTACACGTCAACTATGACAGACAAAATGAGAAAAAAATTCCAGAAAATCACATTGTAGGATTTTTAATGAATGTATTTGCAAATTATGGTGGAAAATAAGTATTTGGTCAATAACAAAAGTGTCTCAATACTTTGTAATATACCCTTTGTTGGCAATGACACAGGTCAAACGTTTTCTGTAAGTCTTCACAAGGTTTTCACACACTGTTGCTGGTATTTTGGCCCATTCCTCCATGCAGATCTCCTCTAGAGCAGTGATGTTTTGGGGCTGTCGCTGGGCAACACGGACTTTCAACTCCCTCCAAATATTTTCTATGGGGTTGAGATCTGGAAACTGGCTAGGCCACTCCAGGACCTTGAAATGCTTCTTACGAAGCCACTCCTTCGTTGCCCGGGCGGTGTGTTTGGGATCATTGTCATGCTGAAAGACCCAGCCACGTTTCATCTTCAATGCCCTTGCTGATGGAAGGAGGTTTTCACTCAAAATCTCACGATACATGGCCCCATTCATTCTTTCCTTTACACGGATCAGTCGTACTGGTCCCTTTGCAGAAAAACAGCCCCAAAGCATGATGTTTCCACCCCCATGCTTCACAGTAGGTATGGTGTTCTTTGGATGCAACTCAGCATTCTTTGTCCTCCAAACACGACGAGTTGAGTTTTTACCAAAAAGTTCTATTTTGGTTTCATCTGACCATATGACATTCTCCCAATCCTCTTCTGGATCATCCAAATGCACTCTAGCAAACTTCAGACGGGCCTGGACATGTACTGGCTTAAGCAGGGGGACACGTCTGGCACTGCAGGATTTGAGTCCCTGGCGGCGTAGTGTGTTACTGATGGTAGGCTTTGTTACTTTGGTCCCAGCTCTCTGCAGGTCATTCACTAGGTCCCCCCGTGTGGTTCTGGGATTTTTTCTCACCGTTCTTGTGATCATTTTGATCCCCACGGGGTGAGATCTTGCGTGGAGCCCCAGATCGAGGGAGATTATCAGTGGTCTTGTATGTCTTCCATTTCCTAATAATTGCTCCCACAGTTGATTTCTTCAAACCAAGTTGCTTACCTATTGCAGATTCAGTCTTCCCAGCCTGGTGCAGGTCTACAATTTTGTTTCTGGTGTCCTTTGACAGCTCTTTGGTCTTGGCCATAGTGGAGTTTGGAGTGTGACTGTTTGAGGTTGTGGACAGGTGTCTTTTATACTGATAACAAGTTCAAACAGGTGCCATTAATACAGGTAACGAGTGGAGGACAGAGGAGCCTCTTAAAGAAGAAGTTACAGGTCTGTGAGAGCCAGAAATCGTGCTTGTTTGTAGGTGACCAAATACTTATTTTCCACCATAATTTGCAAATAAATTCATTAAAAATCCTACAATGTGATTTTCTGGAATTTTTTTCTCAATTTGTCTGTCATAGTTGACGTGTACCTATGATGAAAATTACAGGCCTCTCTCATCTTTTTAAGTGGGAGAACTTGCACAATTGGTGGCTGACTAAATACTTTTTTTCCCCACTGTAAGCCTGCAAGACAAAAGCGTCTTCATAGAGCAGGGTTCCCCAACTTTGGGTTTTCACTTGAGATTATTTATAGTGGTGAATGTCATCCCCATTATCTGTCTGTCTGTCTCTCATGCTGCAAGAGCTCTGATAGGTTGGAGGACGTCCTCCGGAAGTTTTCATAATTGCACACACACACACACTGCACTGAAATAGGAGAGGTATTACTGAGGTGAGATGTTCCAATCCTATCCTGCAACAGGCCCTTTGTTTCACAGTTAACCCCCACACACACTATTTGTTTAGTGGTTGCTGTATATTATCTGTACGTTTAGGTCTGATTACTTTAGTAAACTGCTATATATTTTAGCAAGCACACTCATGAAAAACTTAGGCTGAACCATGCCTCTGAAAAATAAACTGTGCCTCAAACTCGGCCGGGACATACTTTCAATGGTGCTATCCCACTTCTGATACCGTTGTAGTTCATTAGGGTGCTATGCCGACCGGGACTCAAACCCTGGTCCCTGTGACTGCCATTCCAAAACCTTAGCCATTATACCAAGAGTTAAGCCAACCTTATTAAGAGGCTAAAATCTCATTTTTCCCCCTGCTAGCTTGCCTTAATTTTCAAAACATTTTTATCCGTTAGTAAATCAACTTTGTATTGCTTTAGTGTATATAACAACTTGGTGACGGTGGTAACATTTACTGTACATAACATGTTTTTGACATGGTGGTGACATATACATAACATCTTGGTCACAGTGGTGACGTGTAGATAAGAGTTGACACTCTCCCATCCAGATCATCAGTCTGACGCGGCCGTTGGACTCGTGGCTAGAGCACGTGGACTTCCGCACACTCTTCCGCTGCTTGACCGACGAGGAGGTTCTGCTCGTGTTCGCTGCTGCCGTTATGGAGCGACGCATCGTCTTCATAGCCGAGGAGCTCAGGTACTGCACACACACACACACACTATTACTTACTACTCAAATCAACATAGTCGTCTGAAACGCATGCATCAACTCTGTCAATGGGCACTTATTATAAAAACATCATTGCATATCAATATGAAACAAGATGTTCCTTACACGTTGAGGACCACTCAGAAATAAAAACCCAAAATCACATAAGGATAAGCTTCAAGGGGGTATCAAAAGTTAATTGTTCACACAGTTACACACATTCCAGGAGTTGGAACCGAAATTATTTTTCAATCGTTTAATTTTGAACAGAACCTCTATTTTTGTCGTTCCGACCAGCAAAATAAAGTTCTGAACCGGTTCAAACCCCCAAACAGTACCGGTTTATATAATTCCTTTGTTAACCTGTGATATATACACTAACGTTGAAAAGTTTGGGGTCCCTTAGAAATGTCCTTGTTTTCGAAAGAAAATCAATTTTTTGGTCCATTAAAATAACATCAAATTGATCAGAAATACAGTGTAGACGTTGTTAATGTTGGAAATGGCTATTGTAGCTGGAAATGGCTGATAAAAAAAAAAAAAGGAATATCTACATAGGCGTACAGAGGCCCATTATCAGCAACCATCAGTCCTGTGTTCCAATGGCACGTTGTGTTTGCTAATCCAAGTTTATCATTTTAAAAGGCTAATTGATCATTAGAAAACCCTTTTGCAATTATGTTAGCACAGCTGAAAACTGTTGTGCTGATTAAAGAAGGAATAAAACTGGCCTTCTTGAGACTAGTTGAGTATCTGGAGCATCAGCAATTGTGGGTTCGATTACAGGCTCAAAATGGCCAGAAACAAATAACTTTCTTCTGAAACTCGTCAGTCTATTCTTGTTCTGAGAAATGAAGGCTATTCTATGCGAGAAATTGCCAAGAAACTGAAGATCTCTTACAACGCTGTGTACTACTCCCTTCTCAGAACAGCGCAAACTGGCTTTAACCAGAATAGAAAGAGGAGTGGGAGGCCCCGGTGCAAAACTGAGGTCCTCAACAGGTCCTCAACTGGCAGCTTCATTAAATAGTACCCGCAAAACACCAGTCTCAACGTTAACAGTGAAGAGGCGACTCCGGGATGCTGACCTTCTAGGCAGAGTTGCAAAGAAAAAGCCATATCTCAGACTGGCCAATAAAAATAAAAGATTAAGATGGGCAGTCTAAGACATTTCTAAGTGACCCCAAACTTTTGAACGGTAGTGTGTATATATTTTTTACATTTAGCTCATTCAATTACTTCAGCAATCAGTGCGGATAGAGCAGGCAAGCTAGTTGTTTACATGCGTGATGGACAAAGTGTAGCCTATGGCGCAAGGAGGCTTGAAGCTCTGGGAATCTTGTTATGACATGCATTATCTGAATTAGGTACACTGAATTATACATAGGAGGGAGCGGCTTTTATGGAAGAACTTTGAATGACCTTTGAGCTAGCTATCTAACAAGCGTGTTTGCAGAGCGGCACCAGAATTAAAAACACGTCTTACCTTTTTTTTGTGAATAAATCCAACGTGATAACTAGGCCTATGGTATCCTTAACTAGCATTGAAAAAGTTAAACCATTCTTCTCTAGCTAATTAAAAATCTCTCTCCCTATCTTCTGAATCATGCTTGTAATGTCAGTACAGTAGCCTAAACACGGACAGGCAAATATGTTCACCTTGCAGGCGGACACTGGAATACGTTTCTGAGTGACGAAGTGAGGGCTTTGCATAGGCGCTTTGCGTTATTTTGTGGGACTAGAAAAAAATGCCTGGAACTTAAAATAACTTTATTAACCGGTTCTCATGCTTTTTAAATAACAGTTCTCTTAAGGAAGAGTATGGATCACTTTAGTTTTCAGTTCCGTTACTTCCCACGGGGGGCCAGTATGAAAAATGTATGCACTCACTAATTGGATAAGAGCGTCTGCTAAATGACTCAAATGTATAATGTTGAACCAACCCCTGACATACACGCTGAATAAGTGTGACCTCTGACTCTCTCTCTCTCCTTAGCACACTGTCCCAGGTGATCCACGCCGTGGCCGCCCTGCTCTACCCCTTCACCTGGCAGCACACCTTCATCTCCATCGTCCCCGAGATCCTCATTGACGTGGTCATGGCACCCACCCCCTACCTGCTGGGAGTGCAGAAGCGGCTCCTGGAACAGGTCACGGACCAGAGCGACGTGAGTCACCCCCACCAAAGAAACTCTGATGATGTTACAGCAATGTTGGCTTCGACACACAGGCTTCACTCACGTTAATTCCTGAAAGCCTGGGGAAGTTGTTGGCAGGAAGACTCTCTAAAAAGGGGTGGAGTACGGTAGCATCTAGATTAACTCTAATGATGAATTGCCACTTCTCAAACCAATCACATATTTTTGCATGGGTTGAGCTCCAAACAGAGGTGGTTTCTGAACATTTTACTGACTTGCAACAAGATGCCTAACATAAGATACAAAAAACCAAAGCAACAGTAAACATGTCATTCCCTACGAATGATGCAGCGCCCCCCTTAGGCCAATTGAGTTATCGCGTGTGACTAACACATTTCAGTTCATTACTATAGCTCCTACCTTAAGCCAATCAGTGTAATTTTGTCAATGCCGGATTTCTATGGCAACACGCATCATTCACCCAAGTTTCGTCAGAATCGGCCCAGTGCTGTCTGTGCATGTGACTAAGGTACGAACAAATGGGCGGAGACAGATCCACAGTCCCCTCCACGATTTCATCGTGGGGGACAATAACACTACATAGGCTACTAAAACGTTGTCCGAGATGGTAGGAAAAGAGGCACGGACAAAACAATAAAAAGTTAAATGCCTTTGCTGAGGGGATATGGCATGTCTTCTCGGAGCCAATCAAATGCGAGTGTTAACAGCCAGCCATTAAAACACAAAAATCCAATACTGAAGTTTTCCCGACTTTCAATAGTTACGTCAACGAGACGAGATTTGGAAGGATGGCCCTGTGATTAGATTTTTGATTAGATTTATTTTATTACCTAAACACTTAAATACATAAGAATCATAACAAAATACGGCTTTCACCTCGTCACACTACATAAACAATACACTTCTTCTCCCCAGGCTTTGAAAATAAGTAGTGAGACTACAACAAAGTTATCACAATACCAGTTAAATGTCAAACATTAGAACTAATGACATGGGCCCTTTCCAGAAACAACACCTAAACCCCTTGTATAGATCTGAAAAGATTGGATAGAAGTCTGCTATCCTATTTGACTTAAAGCACAGGAAGGGCCAAGGGGTAGGGGCAAAGGGGTTGTTCCTGGATCAGACCTTGGCTCTATCTGAATGTATCTTTCCTTGATTCCTCGCCTCCTTCACAATGTATTGGAGGAGATGGTCCAAGGTCCCTAGCCTCGGACCTCCTCCAATGCATTTTGAGAAGGAGGCGAGGAATCAAGGAAAGATTAATTGAGAAAGAGCCCCTGAATGACTGGATGGGAAGTTTGTGAGTCTTGGTAGTAATAGTGATGGATTGGTGTTGGAATACTGATTTGTAGGGTCTGTTTTCCCCAACACAGCTGCTTGTTGTGGACTTGTCAGAGGATAAGGAGGACACTTTCCTAGTTCGAGTAAGTGACTGAAATATGTCCTAAGTTTACCTTTTTTTCCCTCTTTTTTTAAATCACATTTACTCACATATATGCATTGTATGCTCTTTTGAATTGAAATTCCGTTTATTATGTGTACTGTTTTGCACTTAATACTATGGGAGAAATGGGAATTTTGCTTTGTCAGACCATTAAATATTCTGTTTTATAGAGCGGAGATGAGAAGTCTATTCTGCCCCCTAAGCTCCAAGATGAAATACTGCAGGCACTAAGAAATAGGAAAGAAAAAGCCAGTGAGTATATTTTGATATCAGCCTTTGCAACAAATGCCTGAACAAATGTGAAACGGGAAACCGCTTTATTTCACAATTGGAAAATAGGTTTTCCGTCAGATGTTTTTGCAAGAGGCAAGTGTTGCATGGGGTATTTTATTTATTTATTTCAGATTGTATTGCTATTTTTTCACCTACAGTACCGCATCAGGTGTGCAGATGGCCATACTTTGATGAATACATAATTTTAATTAACTGTAACCATTAAATATAGATTGTTTATACTCTCTTTGATACTTTCAAAGTAATGTGAGGTTTAGGAAAATTATCATGTCATCATAAGATACTGGTTGTTCGCACACAAGGTGAAAGGTCAACGTGATGCCTTACTATGGTACTATAGATCCAGAGTGTTATGGCTCACGAGCACAGCCAAATAACACCTCGGTCGGAGCCACCTGGACTGTGGCTAAACGTGTGTGTGTACCATTTCCCACGCAGCTGTGGAGGAGCTGAACAGGGTGGTCTCGGAAGCCTTCCTGCCCTTCTTTGTGAAGACTGTCGGCCATTTTGCCTCATACGTGACGCGGAAAGGAAGCGGGCAGCCGGGGGTGTTTCAGAGCAAGGCCTTCTACAAGGCCATTGAGTCCAAGACCACGCGGCACTTTGTCAAGAAGTTCCTCCAGACCCAGATGTTTGACCTGTTTATCCAGGAGATGGAGCAGCAGCCAGCAAGCCTCCAGCAAGGTGAGAAGGCCCTCTCGCCTCTGGGGCCCCCTAGTGTGTGTGCAAGAGAGAGAGCTTTAATACATACTTGCATAACATGAGTATTTGAAAGCTATATAAAATGTTAGAAAATATATCTAAAGTTTAACATGGGAATGAAGCTGGGTTGTTCTTCTGGGATAACATGCCTCTTGTTCGCTTATCATTAATTTACTCATTTATCATCACCCCCTTGTTTTTTTCAGGAATTTTCCACAAAAAGATTGTTGAATACCAGGAAAAGAAGAAAAGAGAGAAGGCAAAGAAGAAATAGTATCTTGTGAATACACTGTAAACGAGGCTATGATATAGAGTAGAAGGGATTTACTGTAGATGTGTGATAATAAAATAGATTTTTACAGATGTACATATTGGAAGTGAATAATTTGTATTTATAGTTTATGTATGAGGTTGTGGGTATGTTTAATGTGCTGCTACTGTATATGACAGATGGTTGACAAGACTACTGGTTAGATGTTTTGTCAGAATGAGTGTTAGGTTCAGATGGTGACAGATTTTTGAACCCATGATTTAGCAGAAAACAATTCTAATAAACTTTGAACTTTTACTCCTACTTTCCTGGTTCAAGAAAGCTGTTGCCCAATAAGTGTGTGTGCACAAGAGGTCACAGACAGGGAAAGATTGCCATCAGCTATGTTGACAAGTCATATTAACAACAGATTTATTTGTAGAAAAGTACAATACCAGAAATAAAAAAAGTTATGCAAACTGTACAGTACAGATAAGTCAAATCGTAAATCAAATCAAAGTTGACGTGTCACGCTTTCATTAACATTTTGACCCACTAAATGTCTTTAGAAATATCTTTAGTCATGTTCATTAGGCACCAAATGGAAGAATACTGACTGAAGCAGGGAGGGACTGCCTGGACTGGTCCAATAAGGAAACTAATTTTTCCATTGCAAAACATTTTCCATTGTTTTACCTAATGAACACAACAGTTGTTCAGTCAATGAAGTGCTGAGTCTCCAACGGCATCATCTTGCCTCCTTTCCTTAAATCACAGGCCCCAAATCACATGATGGGTGAATGCATTATTGTTCCAACATATTCAATCATTCCACTTAGCAGTAAGAGATGAAGAAAGGAAGTCATTTCAAGGCACAGAGATAGTCATGTTTTTCCTGGGGTGGGACTGCAGTGTGGCCTCCATGCTACAGAAGGGGGCAATGTAGTCAGATGCTCCCAGCCAGCAGTGGCGAGTGCTCTCCATGGTGGATATGCTCCCTCACGTCATAATGGGTGTAGTCGTACAGGTGATTACTCTGCATGACAACCTGCACCCGCAACTGAATTTTCTGGGGAGCAAAGAACATGAATGCACCTGAGACCTCTATGGTGAGAGGCCATTCAATCCATCTTCCTTGGTTGATGAAACAACTGAGAATGAGCTATAACATTACATTTACATTTTAGTCATTTAGCAGACGCTCTTATCCAGAGCGACTTACAGTTAATGAGTGCATACATTTTCATACATAAATGTATCACATTCAGCTCTACTCATACAAATGTAACCTTTCTACATTTGTTATGCAAAACAGATCGGAGAATGAAGTCTTGCAATGGTAAGTGTTGTGTATTTTGCTTTGCCATTGGTTGTGAGCAGAGAGAGAAGGGATAGCAGGAAGACCGTACCTGGAAGTCTCGGATGTAAGTGAGGAAGAAGCAGATAAAGGAGAAGGCCAGAGACCACTCAGCCACGGCACTGACCAGATGGGCTGTGTAACCCTGCAAGGTATGGCACCATTGACCCCAGAAGAAACCATTAGAAACAAACTCAAACATAAATCATAGTCTCTTATATTACCTTTAAGTTCAATTAGTAAAATACCAACCAATATAATATGCATTGTTATGGAAATTATATGGGACAAAGCCATATTACAGACAATATATTAACAAGTAAAGGATTTCCATGTTCTAGTATTTAGTAGGAAGTAGCATTCCTACGTACTTATGTATTTGTACGTACTTCACATTGTACTTGTGTGCTGGACAACAATCACTACATAGAACAAACTATTGCCACTATTTACAATCTTCTAGTATTTAGTAGGATCACAGAGTAGAGGACCCTGATGTTTGCCCACCGTGTCCCCTGGTCTCCAGCGTATTTTCCTGTTCACGTCTGGTAGGTTATCATACAGAATGGCTGACGACACAAACGCTGAGAGAGAGAGAGGGCGAAAGAGTCAAGGGCTAGAACTGCAGCAGTGGAAGATGTAGTCATACTATTGAGGGACAGACATAACACTTCATCAATATAGTATCAGATTTTAAACTAGGACTGAGTCGGTTTCCCCAAACCAATGAGCATGCTTTTTAGTCCAGGAGTAGGCTTAATATGAGCCCGGGTAACTGGCCCTGCAGGTGGTCCAGATGTTCCCAAAATGCAATGCTTTTCCATGGTCGTTTTCAACAGAAATCCATTCAGTTCCCACTGTTATGTCCCCTTCTAATGTGTCAATGTCTGCAACTTTCCTTTGTACACTGCTCTGTGTGTGCGCCAGAGAGTCAGACTGGTATGGTGAAGGATACCGATGATGACGCTGGCCATTGTCCACAGCCCCACGGCGGTGCGCGCCCATAGGATGTCCCGGCCGTGGAAGCGAGGCTGCATGTGGTATGACACCCCCGTCTGAACCAGGATGTAGAGCGCCCCGCAGCCAAAGGTCAGCCCCGCCCCCAGCAGATGCACTGACATGATGGTGGTTTTCTGCAAAAGGGCAGCGGTGACAATGCATTTCATACCCGACCCAAACTTTCACATGTTCCAGAAGGAAGAAAATCCAGGGTATTTGACTCAAGAGGTGAGAAAGAAGGAAGGGGAGGGGGCAAAGGTGATGTGCCCATCATCATTCAGAGAAAGTTGAGGAGTTGAGAACACTGAAATGTGTGTGCTCCTTCTCAACACTCACATCTGGAGCTTTCGTCCGATTCCAAATCGAGTTTGATAGGTATTGGGTATTTATATAAGAGGATAGTTATAATGGAAAAGTGGGGTGGGCAATGCTGTATGTACCTGGAAGTTGGCGACGACGCACATGCCGACTGAGCTCATGATCCCCAGGACCAGGCCAGCACAGTTAAGTCGATGCAGTTTAAGCTCGCCACCTAGTGCCAGAGCATGGACCTGCTTGTATCGCACATAGACAGTGGCTACACCTGCAGGGTCAACCACAAAGGGATGGACACAAGATTAATGGGAAGTGTGTGTTTTAAAACTGTCCAGTGTTTCCAGATTTCTATGAAATATTACCTATAATTAATTACAATGAGTGAAATAGTTTTCCTTCCTAAAAATGGTAAACTGCAATATGTTACTTTTTGGGTGACCTGACCAAATTCACATAGAAATGTGTGTTATAGATCTGTCACCCATCGAAAGCAAGTCTAAGAAGAAATAGATATGTTCTATGTGCGCTATTTCTATGCTTCCCGTTCTTAAGTTTTTGCGTCTTTTACTTTTTGGTTTTGTACCGAATCTTTAAGTATGTTAAGAAGCAGATTTTGTGTGTTGGAATGGTGTGGGCGTACCCCAACAACAGAATGTGGTGGGCGTATAAGAGTCATGAAAAATATTCATGCAAGTAGTCCGCTGATTGGCCAGCTCATCCATCCTCTATGAGGAAATGGCAAGCATTTTTTAAACTGTCTGTTTGAGATACAAGTTTGAGGTGGAGTTTGTTTTTTCTCCTATTTAATTTTGACCACAAATACGAGTAGAGGGTGATTCAACAACATTATTTGGGTAGGAGTTAACAGAATATGAACTTTTATGTGAGATTTACTTGGTCTTTCACGTGTGAACCACTGACAAAAATACCCGCTTAACTAACTTAACTGTAGAGAAACAATGAAGCCACATAGATCACACTAATTCCTCCACAATCCCCTGCTAGGTCTAAAGGGGCCAACACATACTTTTTGCTTCACAAATAACATCCATGAAACTAGATTTGTATGTAGCAGTCATTTCATTGGCTGACATTCAAAGGCACTCTTTCTCAACCATGACATTTCCCTGGAAGTTTTTAACCTGGAATAGAATCAAGTCAGTGATCGTGCGGTGTGTTGAACTAGGTCACAGAGGAGACAAACTATCCATCCTGTAAACTGTCACCCACTTTAATATTTTCAGCCACTAAATTCTAGTGAGAGGAGTTTGCATTCCCCTTTTATTTTGGGACCACTTAACTATTATACCTGATATGGTGTGTCCATTTTGTTTTACCTAAAAAGGAAGAGACACTCAGCATGAACCCAAAGACGCAGCGTTCGGGAACCACGGCACTGGCGTCACTGTAAGGAAACACACCCACCCATACACCACAATCACCTCTGTTATACACAGGACCAAAAGGGCAATTGCGTCACAAACATCTGGCAAATACTGTTGAAACAAGCCAGAAAGAAATGTCAGTTTCCTGTTGTGTACTCAAAGAATACTAACCGTTTAACCACATCCTCCATCATAATCTGATGTCTGAGTCTAACACTGTTAGTCTTTAACATTAGTCATTTGTCTTTAACAGTCATTTAGCAGAGGCTCTTATCCAGAGCGATTTACAGGAGTAATTAGGGGTAAGTGCCTTGTTCAAGGGCATATTGTCAAAAGTATCACCTAGTCGGCTCAGGGATTTGAACCAGCAACCATTCGGTTACTAGGCCAACTTGTTTTTGCATTTTTCTAACCTTTTGGAAATGAAAGCTATTGGAATTGTCCTGTAATTACTTATAGCACAAACCAGAAGTGCACCGTCCAAAAGAATCTCATCTTCCTCTCATAGGAGCGAATCCTAACTTCAATTTATGTTGATTTTTCACTTAGTCATGCATTGATGTCAATGCATGACTAAGTGGAAGTTAGGATTTGCCCTATACTCTCTCACACACAGGTTGGCAGGCCCTGGTCCAGTACCTGATGTAGGGCATTAGTAGGTCGACGTGGCCCAGCAGCACAGCGGTGACATAGCTGAGGACGAAGGTGGCCGAGGACCAGGCGACCAGGGCTGCAGGGAGAGCACATACCCCCCTCTGGAACCACCACATACTCCCTGGGACAGGAGACACAAATGCACCTACAGATCACATAATCATGTGCAAACTCCAAATTCCACTATTAATCAAACAGTCAACCTCATGTTCAAAAGCCCAAACACATACAGTTGATGTCAGAAGTTTACATACACTTAGGTTGGAGTCATTAAAACTCATTTTTCAACCACTCCACAAATGTCTTTTTAACAAACTATAGTTTTGGCAAGTCGGTTAGGACATCTACTTTGTGCGTGACACAAGTAATTTTACCAACAATTGTTTACAGACAGATTATTTCACTTATAATTCACTGTATCACAATTCCAGTGGGTCAGAGGTTTACATACACTAAGTTGACTGTGCCTTTAAACAGCTTGGAAAATTCCACAAAATGATATCATGGCTTTGGAAGCTTCTGATAGGCTAATTGACATCATTTGAGTCAATAGGAGGTGTACCTGTGGATGTATTTCAAGGCCTACCTTCAAACTCAGTGCCTCTTTGCTTGACATCATGGGAAAATCTAAAAGAAATCAGCCAAGACCTCAGAAAAAGAATTGTAGACCTCCACGTCTGGTTCATCCTTGGGAGCAATTTCCAAACACCTGAAGGTACCACGGTCATCTGTACAAACAATAGTATGCAAGTATAAGCACCATGGGACCACGCAGCCGTCATACCGCTCAGGAAGGAGACGCGTTCTGTCTCCTAGAGATGAACGTACTTTGGTGCAAAAAGTGCAAATCAATCCCAGAACAACAGCAAAGGACCTTTTGAAGATGCTGGAGGAAACAGGTACAAAAGTATCTATATCCACAGTAAAACGAGTCCTATGTCGACATAACCTGAAAGGCCGCTCAGCAAGGAAGAAGCCACTGCTCCAAAACCGCCATAAGAAAGCCAGACTACGGTTTGCAACTGCACATGGGGACAAAGATTGTACTTTTTGGAGAAATGTCCTCTGGTCTGATGAAACAAAAATAGAACTGTTTGGCCATAATGACCATCGTTATGTTTGGAGGAAAAAGGGGTTGACTTGCAAGCCGAAGAACACCATCCCAACCGTGAAGCACGGGGGTGCCAGCATCATGCTGTGGGGGTGCTTTGCTGCAGGAGGGACTGGTGCACTTCACAAAATAGATGGCATCATGAGGAAGGAAAATTGTGGATATATTGAAGCAACATCGAGACATCAGTCAGGAAGTCTACAAACCTGACCCTCTCAATCAGAGATTTCTGGCTCCCAGGTGTCTTTTATACAGATAACGAGCTGAGATTAGGAGCACACTCTTAAAGGGAGTGCTCCTAATCTCATCTTGTTACCTGTATAAGACACACCTGTACACAGAAGCAATCAATCAATCAGATTCCAAACTCTCCACCATGGCCAAGACCAAAGAGCTCTCCAAGGGTGTCAGGGACAAGATTGCAGACCTACACAAGGCTGGAATGGGCTACAAGTCCATCGCCAAGCAGCTTGGTGAGAAGGTGACAACAGTTGGTGCGATTATTCGCAAATGGAAGAAACACAAAAGAACTGTCAATCTCCCTCGGCCTGGGGCTCCATGCAAGATCTCCCCTCGTGGAGTTGCAATGATCATGAGAACGGTGAGGAATCAGCCCAGAACTACACGGGAGGATCTTGTCAATGATCTCAAGGCAGCTGGGACCATAGTCACCAAGAAAACAATTGGTAACACACTACGCCGTGAAGGACTGAAATCCTGCAGCGCCCGCAAGGTCCCCCTGCTCAAGAAAGCACATAAACAGGCCCGTCTGAAGTTTGCCAATGAACATCTGAATGATTCAAAGGAGAACTGGGTGAAAGTGTTGTGGTCAGATGAGACCAAAATCGAGCTCTTTGCCATCAACTCAACTCGCCGTGTTTGGAGGAAGAGGAATGCTGTCAAACATGGAGGTGGAAACATTATGCTTTGGGGGTGTTTTTCTGCTAAGGGGACAGGACAACTTCACCGCATCAAAAGGGACGATGGGACGGTGCCATGTACCGTCAAATCCTGGGTGAGAACCTCCTTCCCTCAGCCAGGGCATTGAAAATGGGTTGTGGATGGGTATTCCAGCATGACAATGACCCAAAACACACGGCCAAGGCAACAAAGGAGTGGCTCAAGAAGAAGCACATTAAGGTCCTGGAGTGGCCTAGCCAGTCTCCAGACCTTAATCCCATAGAAAATATGTGGAGGGAGCTGAAGGTTCGAGTTGCCAAACGTCAGCCTCGAAACCTTAATGACTTGGAGAAGATCTGCAAAGAGGAGTGTGACAAAATCCCTCCTGAGATGTGTGCAAACTTGGTAGCCAACTACAAGAAACGTCTGACCTCTGTGATTGCCAACAAGGGTTTTGCCACCAAGTACTAAGTCATGTTTTGCAGAGGGGTCAAATACTTATTTTCCTCATTAAAATGCAAATCAATTTATAACATTTTTAACATGCATTTTTCTGGATATTTGTTGTTGTTATTGTCTCTCACTGTTCAAATAAACCTAACCATTAAAATTATAGACTGATCATATCTTTGTCAGTGGGCAAACGTACAAAATCAGCAGGGGATCAAATACTTTTTTCCCCTCACTGTAAACTTCCGACTTCAACTGTATCCATCCACACACACACACACACACACACACCCCGTTTTAAAAACCCACACTTTCTCAACCAAACAGATTTCTACATCCTACTAGATGCACGATCCCATTAACACCATACAGTCCAAACCCATCACATAATCTCAATGGTGGTATCACTCACAGTAGTAAGCAGAGCGAGAGACTCAGGACTCCATTCAACGCAGCAAGAGCAGTATCGCTCCAGATAGACACAGGTTTCAAGCGTGAGAAAAGTTGGTCGGTCTCTGTGAAACCCAGCTTTTATTAGTCCGTTGAAAACTGCTTTGATGGGAAATGAAGAGAACAGAACTGCGTGTGTCTGTTCCAGACAGTCTAAGACCCCCCCAAAGTCAGGACTTGTGACTAGTCTGCTGCTCTTCGCGCAGCCTAAAATCAGCTGACTCCAACACAGTGTGACTTTCATTTAACTGAGTGCTGGCTGACCACACAAACACGCACGTGCCAAACACGCTTACAAAAAAGGCATACACATTATGACAAAAATACTCAATAACAATATCTATCCCTAATAAGAGTTTAATGATATTGGGCCAGTTTCCGCAGATACAGATTAAGCGTAGCATCTCCATCTCTGTGTCTGGGAAACTGACCCATTAAGGCACGTATGCATATGTTAAAACACAAGCAGTATATAACCAAGCTACACATCAAACCCGAAGTCTGTTTCCAATTATGCGGAGTCTGCCAAAAGGTCAAAAGGACCGCATAGCATCATTAGTCACACTTTGTCCATCATCACACTAGTACTGTAGAACAATATTGCAGAATACTAAAGAAGAGGTCATGATAGACATAAATGACTGCTAGCAATAGACTAGATCACATGTTATAAATATAGCAATCTTTATTTTACATAAGCTTGTTTATTCAAAAATTCATGATTTTCTTTGACAGAAAAGTAACAATTTTTACCAAACATCAAATTAAAAACCATTGAACACTAAAAAGCAATATTTTAGTTTTTTTACAACGACCAATGATGCACACTTCGCAAGTCATCTTTAAAATCTCTGCATTGTTCAGAAATGACAAACAATCCAAGGGAAAATGAGTTACGTTTGAAGGGGTGTTTCAATTGGTTGAACACCATCAGTTACATATATATATATCCACGTGGCTATTGACTGACCATTACAGTGGGTTGTAATGCCCATCCCATGCATAGGATACAAACAAAAGAACATTGACAAGCTCTTCTCTTGTTATGAAGAGAAATTAAACGGTAGACATTTTAATACTCTGTGCATCACTGTTTGATATTAGCTAAATTGGTAGGGTAATAGTAGACATTCCTTAATTTCTGCTTTAAAAAAAACCATTCCTTATGTTTGACCATTGACGGGTCGTCCATACGGATATAGTTATATAGTTTAATACTTGGTTAATGATAAGACCTCAGACAGAATGGGTGGGGTTGGAGTGACTGTAGGGGTAAGATCAGGGAGTGACACGGAAGAGAACACTTAAACATATCCTTCACTGTATTCATCAGTTACATATCAAGCATTTATAGCACAACACATAGGCCTGACACTAGCCTTTTTCAGGCCGTCATTTTGAAACCGTCCCTTCTAATGCAAATACTTAGCATTTAAGGCAACTGCTGCATAACGACTGTATTGCATTTTTCACAACCAAGCAGTTCCTCCAAGTGGTGATGTAACACTAATGGTAGCCTGACTCCTACTTCATCAACGCTACAGTATAACCAAAGCTCAACTAAAAAGCAACACAGTTGAATAAAAAACAAAAATATACTGTATATATTATTTATTTTTTATGAGAAAAAAAAACAGATGAATATTGTAATATTGTAAACAGTGTGAGGAGGTTGGAGTAACACCTATCACTAAAACGTCCCAAACTTACTTTTTTGTCATCCACGGTGACAAAAATGACTTGCGGTTGACAGAACACGTACTCATAACTGTTGCTTGAATATCATAAGCTAGATTCCTCACGGTTAAGAGTCTGAACGCATGTAACAGATAACGAGCAGTGCTCCATTGACTTGCATCACATATGGCACAAGTTATATGGAAGCATACAGCAGGAACCGTGATCCATCTCTCATACACAGTTGTATAATGCAGATCCATTTGTTCTGCAATCACATGGGACAAAATGAAGTACGTAGCCATATCATGTAAACATGATGAGACAATAGTTCCCTTGTTCGTTGGGGCTTATTGAATATAATACAATTCAGTGTCATACATCATGTAGGCCCCTCAAACTCAAACCTGGACCTTGCAGCCAATTCCACTGCTTTTTTTCCATTGTTCCCCTCTAATCAGGGACTGATTTAGACCTGGGACACCAGGTGTGTGCAATTAATTATCAGGTAGAACAGAAAAGCAGCAGGCTCTGGACCTCATAGGGTAAGAGTTGAATACCCCTGATGTAGGCTATACAGAACGAGGATGACATAGGATCAACAACAGAAATGCAAGACAGTCTTAGCTCATGACCATGTGTTCTTCCACTGAATGCAATCCGCAATCTATGACGACAGCTTTTCAGATGGTTCAAACGGAATGCAGAAATACTATACAGAACTACTCTGCGCTACACCTTAAAACAGAGAACTAACATTTTCTCTGGAGTGGAATACAGGTGGGTATTGTACGTAGATGAGCTGAGTAAATACCAATACTGAAAGAACAGACAGGCGTGAATACACTGTAGGCATTTTTTCCTCATAGCTAAGTATAATATCATTTGGTTAGGTATAACCTGATCCTTCCTATGGATAACATTTTATTTTCAGTGCATTTGAGCAAATATATGGATAGTGGCAGCATGGTTATAGTAAGCAACATTAACCCCTATCCATAACCTTTTGTTAGATAACTTCTAAATCTCAAATAGTTTGTTACCAAATAACCAGGTTCTTCTTTTATGACAAACTAAACCTCAACAGAAAACGTATTCCCCATTCTCCTCTTCGGCTAGGAACCTTTTACACCACATCTGCAAAGACTGATCACTATTGCACACCAGAGACTGAAATAAATTATGTTCATAAAAAAATGTTCCTCTTCTTTTCCCCGCCCTCAATGTATTCATCATTTAATTGGCTAATGCTGCGTTCATAACCAAGTGGGAAGGTAGTAATTATCAGTTGAGAAGTCGCAAACACGAGTTGGGTGTATTCACGTTTTGAACTGGGAAATACTATCAAACATGGAGGTCATTAGAAGGCTTGTTTTGCTCTTTTCTGCCCATAAAAAGTATATCCAGAGCTGCTTTCACTTTCTAAATCAAAAGGAAGATTAACAGAATACATTTTGTATTAACAATTTTGTATTTTGTTCTTACCATAAACAACAACTGCTGAAGATACCGCCAAGCTTGCTGTCTTGTTTGTTGACAAATGACGTCAGAGGTGCAAGTGGGAAACTGAGCACAGGGATGACAGGAGAGTTTCCCACTAATAATTACCAATTGGAGGGGTGTTCAAGTCCATTTTTCCCAGTCGTACGCTGGTATTTATGAAATTACGAGAGGTTGTGAACGCAGCATTATACATTCGTAGAAAGACTGCCTCCAATTCGTCTCATCCAATGGGAACACTGTGGAGACGAAGGGGAGGCGGTTGAGGTACTTCCACCAGCTCCAGCTGGATGGTTTCACCACCTGTCAGTAGTGTCACCAGACCAGTGACACCAGACGTCTTTGCCTGACCGGGAGGCAGCGGCGGGCCGCAGGTTGGGGGGTTTGATCTTGAACACGAAGATGTGCAGGTGAGAGGCGATCTGGTTGCAGACGCTGACGCAGTAGCGCACAAGATCAAAAATGGACAGGAACTGGAGATAAAAGAAGACAGGATGGATGTCAAATAAAGTAAATTTAAGGCTCTTTATATACAGAATTGATTGTGTTTTTTGTTGTACGTCAATCATCTTTTGAGTAAATGCCCCCTGAAAAGAATTGCATGAATATAAGTTAGGCAATCTACATTGTACTGCAAAATACACAAGTGACAGACTTTGGTATACTACTTTACCACTCAACTAAGGGGTTTTGACGTCTTACTTTGGCTAGAATGGGTCTGTGAAGTCAAATGTTTATCTGAAATACGACAATTTCCTATTGTGTGGTATGACCACTAGGGGGCAATGAAGTTCTATCGCAGTCATTCAGTAGGCTTTGCAACTATAATCGGCATTGTGGCTGCCCGAACCTGCCAGGCAACAGTGTGTGATTGCGGGGCCTTCCTGCATGTGGCCATTCTTGAATCTGCAGGAACGCATCCCTGCATGAACGCCCCCCCCCCCCTCGAGTATCTTATTGGTTCCTGCATGAACGCACCCACTCGAGCACGCCATCTTCATGCTTGTGACACTTGATATGGATTGCCCCTGATTGTCTATGCAATTAAAAACGTGGGTCAAAAGGGAAATAAAAGCATTATCAGTCTACCGGTGTCCTAGCTAGCTACCGGTGTCGCCCCCGCCTCCCCCTGCTGTGTACCGGAGTCCTCCTAGCTACTGAACAAAAATATAAACGCAACATGTAAAGTGTTGGTCACGTTTCATGAGCTGAAATAAAAGATCCCAGAAATGTTCAATACGCACAAAAAGCTTTCTTAATTTGTTTATATCCCTGTTAGTGAGCATTTCTCCTTTGCCAAGATAATATATCCACCTGACAGGTGTGGCATATCAAAAAGCTGATTAAACAGCATGATCATTACATAGGTGCACCTTGTGTTGAGGACAATAAATGGCCACAAAAAATGTGCAGTTTTGTCACACAACACAATGCCACAGATGTCTCAAGTTGAGGGAGCATTATATTTGTGTGGGGGTTGTAGAGCAAAACGGAGAACACTATCATGCTCGTGAGAGTCTCATCTTTCCATAGAGTGGTCATACTAGTTAGTAAGACAGATGTGTGGAATAAAAGTTGATTGTCCCGTCCTTCAAGAATCTCTGAGCTCTAAAACAGCAACATTTTCTCTCAGCCTCATGGCAAAATGTGTAAAATAGCTAGCTACCTATCCCGCCCACTGTGAACTGGAGTCCTAGCTTGCTAACTAGCTAGCACCCAGTGTATTAAACGCCTGCCGAATAACTGCCCTCGTTAACAGAACTGCTGGAAAACAGTACCCGACCGTTGTCACCTCTTCTGTGGGGCTTATCGGCGGTTGGCATCCAACGTTATGGTGCATTACCGCCACCTACTATAATGGAGCGCCCCTGCCTCCCGCCTGTGTACCAGAGTCCTAGCTTAAAAATTTACCAATAAAAGTATAAAGAGGGGTTCCTGCAGATGCAGGAATGCGGCGAATGGTGGGCCCCAATTCCTCCTATGTGTTCCAACCACAAGCTACAGTTTAGGAATAATAGATTTGTCTAGTCTATTTTAGGTTTTTTTGCGAACTGCTACTGCTATAGTGTCCTTTTTAGAATAGGTTACAACCACCCCTAAACCTAGGCAGGTTCCAGACTGAAATATGCACCAAAACCATTGTTTTGATGAAGGCAAATAGCGTGTTCATTAGTCTCGGGCCTACTGTCTCATGTTTAACAAAAGCCTGCCCAACAAGCTCACAAATTAAAACACAGGCGACAAATGCGTGTATCTATTGGTTAAAAAAGGGAATAATCTTTGCTTTCTAATGCTGTTAACTGTATGTCTCAACTCCCATTATAAAGGGATTAACACCCCGTTGAAACGGGTGAACAGTGATATTGATGAGAAAGACGCACCTGTTTCAGTAGCGCGAGTCGCGGCTCAAATGGAGCTTGCAGTCTTTCATTTAGGAAATGACCTCACAACCCAAGTAGGCCATTGACAATGACTACATATCAACTGCAATAATTTCTGTAATCAGCGCTTTTTATCCCCCAACTGTTAACAACAATGACGTGCGGAGCAAATAATTTGAAAGATGCATATCCCCCTTACTAACGTTACAGCATTGATGCGATAGGTAGGACTATTTGTTAAATTTTTCCCTTTATGATGATGATGATGATGATGATGGGGACCTGTTAGTGGTAATTTTGTGATAACTGCACTGTGATTTTAATTCTGTGGAGAAAACACAATTTTTTGGTTAGAGGTTTTTCTATTAATGTTAACGATACAACTTCGTTTAAACGTTTTAACGTTTAAACATTCACACTCCTACTTGGTACGTACGTGCACATGGATGAAGTCATTAAGGGGTATGGTGACTTACCAGTGCCACCCAGAGGACCAAGTACTCGTCTATGAAGCTGTTAAAATACTGGTCCAAGAAGAGCAGCCCTGGCCCCAAATAAGCCAAGTCATGGAGACACATCTCACTTTTTGTCATATGAGCCACCTGTAAAACAAAAATAAAATGAGACTGAAATGGCAACGTTAGAGTAAATAGAGTAAAGGGGAAAAAAAACTATATTGAGTCAAACTAAAAACATTGGACTAGGGCTGAAATTCAATGCAAGGTACGTTATAGTGCAGCACACTATAAGACTTTTAAAAGGTAATTTACTCTAGACGACAGCGATACCAAAACAAGTGGCAGGTGTGGATATTGGAATGTAGACTGGCTTTTTCAGCATTTCATGTTTCAGGGTCATGTTCAGGAGGCACAGAATGGAAGAAATCTATGCGAAACAGAGAGCTACTATCTGAACTTGTCCAATAAAAAAAACGCTTGTTCCGTTGCACAACACTTTGCTACCGTGTGCCCTAATGGACACGACCCTAGGTCATCTGGTTCCTCACCACTAGCTTGTTGGTGATCTTGGCCGACACAAACCCAAAGGCCAGGACGTAGAGACAGGGGTGCTTCTCAAACAGCTGGGACGCAGACTTCTTGTAGATCATGATGGCCAGAATTATGACTGACCCTATGTGGAAGAACGGCGACAGGACACTCGTTCCCTGAGAAAGAAGAAGACGGGACATGGATGTCACAATCACTGTACTTAGCTGAAAATTTCCACTATTCCTGTCCGTCTCTAAAGTGATAAATAAACCGCAAGGTAAAGTTCTGACTAGTGGCTTGGCTGAAATCAATGAAAAAGGCATGATAGGCATCCACTGTCATCCAGGTGCTGTGGTATTTAAGCATTAGAAAAGACTGGCTACTTCAACCAAAACAAATGCTGTTGACATGTTTAAATTAAGCTTGATACACATATGTATCATATTACTACCAAAGTTGAAATAACCAATGCAACGAACAGCAGTAAATCGTTTGGTTTGCGACAACATTCCACACACTGTTAGACTGTAACCTTCCGCACACAAAGTCATCTTTTATGAGCCATACAATTCAACTGGATCCTCGTTTGCCAGGACGGATCACGTCTTCCTTACCGCTATGGTGGATCCGTTCTTTCCTACTCCTCCCGTGAATATGACCCGGAAGTAGTTGGTGCAGGAGAAGATTGCTCCCGCCACAGTGAGGATGGCCGGAATGATCTTAATCTGGATGTTCACCACAGGGATCTGTGTGTTTGGGGGATTAGTAATAGCATGGCACTGTTTCATTACTTTAGAAACGCATCCATCTTTCCTACCTTCCTTAAAGTAAACACAGATTTGAATTGGTTGGATTGGTGGAAGTAATAGGGTGACAACTTAGCTTTCACCTATCCAATACCTTATAGATCTGTGCTTACCTCCAGGATACAAGGTTGCATTCACGCAAAATCATCAACAGAGGCGAGTCTTAACACGTCAACCACCATGCCATGGTTTCCCTACATTACTTTCATAAGTGTTGACATTCTTGAGGCTATAAATGTTTAATTGCATGAATAACAGTGTATTACACTGCATCAAACTACAATGCATGTAACAATTAGCATTAAGGTAATTTCTTTCAATTCCAAGCAGTAGGAACAGGCCATAACTTGCTGAATCAAATAGCTTTAAATGCATTACCAAGAACTGCCAAAAAGCTGGTCCTCCGACGGCAGCCAGCAAATACATGATTATAATGAAGAATTGCACTTCAGTCACATCAATGCTGCACAGGCAGAGAGACAGAGGAATCACATGCAAACGGTTAAGTGATTTCACATTTCACACAGCATCATCAAAAACAACATGCACATAGCACCCCCTAGCAGGTCCTGCAAAAACAGCATCCATTCCTCTGGGTTGTGGGTTAGTTTTGAGTGTGTTTGGGGATGTAGAGAACATTTCCCTCAAAAGTCTGAGAGGAACCTGATCTGATAAGGTATTTTTTATTTCTGGTGGACAACCTATTTAGCTCTTACTTACTCTGTCAAGGGCTTATATCATATCAAATCATATTGCTAAATCAAATCAACCATACTCCCAGGACATTCGTCCCTTGTCCTCGTTGTGGCTGTTCCCGAAAGCCAATCAGATAAGCCAATGTTGATATATGAAGCCTATCTAAATCTAAAAATCAGCTGCTGATGTCTTGGTGTCACTGTCAACACGGCAGCTGGTAGAGACATTTACTGGGTACACTAGCTGTCATGACAGAACTATCATAGCTAAAAACATAATAATAATAATAATAATGCCATTTAGCAGAAGCTTTTATCCAAAGCGACTTACAGTCATGCGTGCATACATTATTTTATTTTTTTGTGTATGGGTGGTCCCGGGGATCGAACCCACTACCCTGGCGTTACAAGCGCCGTGCTCTACCAGCTGAGCTACAAATAATGAGAACAAACATCTTTAGTTTAAGGTCAAAATATGACCTCACAGCATTGCAAAAATGTTTGTGATGGCCCAAAAAATATGTCCTAAATTGGTAACTAATTGGCCCAAACCTTTATTTGAATTATAAATCTAATCATCTCCACATCCCAAAATAAAATTCCAGTGGTCAACAGAGATCAACATAATCTAGTAGAGCTCATCGCCAATCAAACTGAGCCATCTCTATCAAATATCTGAAATTACTGTATTAACGCGATGTGAGAATTAATGAAACAGGGTCTGAGAAAGTTGTCTAGATGCATAGGAATTGTACTATGTTGGCCACAGGGGCATGTAAGTCAACCTCTTCTCCTATTGGGCAGTCTGTGCAGGAAGTGTGGCTGATTGGCTAAATAGACACACAGGTTAGCGTCAACTGGGAAGTCACGTGGATGATGCTCTCGTTTTACCGTCAAGTTCCAGAACCCAGGCCCAAACATGGCTGTGCATGTCTGTAACAGTTCTACACAGATCAGATACTCTGTGATATCAAATCTGCCCACCAGGGAAAAAACAAGGTACTTCTGTGAAACGGCTAGATAAAATTGAGGCTTAAAACCTGGCTATGAAATAAACATCTGTCCATCTACATGTACAGTTGAAGTCGGAAGTTTACATACACTTAGGTTGGAGTCATTAAAACTCGTTTTTCAACCATTCCACAAATGTCTTGTTAACAAACTATAGTTTTGGCAAGTCGGTTAGGACATCTACTTTGTGCATGACACAAGTCATCTTTCCAACAATTGTTTACAGACAGATTATTTCACTTATAATTCACTGTATCACAATTCCAGTGGGTCAGAAGTTTACATACACTAAGTTGACTGTGCCTTTAAACAGCTTGGAAAATTCCACAAAATGATATCATGGCTTTAGAAGCTTCTGATAGGCTAATTGACATCATTTGAGTCAATAGGAGGTGTACCTGTGGATGTATTTCAAGGCCTACCTTCAAACTCAGTGCCTCTTTGCTTGACATCATGGGAAAATCAAAAGATATCAGCCAAGACCTCAGAAAAAGAATTGTAGACCTCCACATGTCTGGTTCATCCTTGGGAGCAATTTCCAAATGCCTGAAGGTACCACGTTCATCTGTACAAACAATAGTACGCAAGTATAAACACCATGGGACCACGCACCCGTCATACCGCTCAGGAAGGAGACGAGTTCTATCTCATAGAGATGAATGTACTTTGGTGCAAAAAGTGCACATCAATCCCAGAACAACAGCAAATGACCTTGTGAAGATGCTGGAGGAAACAGGTACAAAAGTATCTATATCCACAGTAAAACAAGTCCTATAGACATAACCTGAAAGGCCGCTCAGCAAGGAAGAAGCCACAGCTCCAAAACCACCATAAAAAAGCCAGACTACGGTTTGCAACTGCACATGGGGACAAAGATCATACTTTTTGGAGAAATGTCCTCTGGTCTGATTAAACAAAAATAGAACTGTTTGGCCATAATGACCATCGTTATGTTTGGAGGAAAAATGGGAAGGCTTGAAAGCTGAAGAACACCATCCCAACCGTGAAGAACGGGGGTGGCAGCATCATGCTGTGGTGGTGCTTTGCTGCAGGAGGGACTGGTGCACTTCACAAAATAGTTGGCATCATGAGGAAGGAAAATTATGTGGATATATTGAAGCAACATGTCAAGACATCAGTCAGGAAGCTTGGTCGCAAATGGGTCTTCCAAATGGACAATGACCCCAAGCACACTTCCAAAGTTGTGGCAAAATGGCTTAAGGACAACAAAGTTAAGATATTGGAGTTGCCATCACAAAGCCCTGACCTCAATACTATAGAACATTTGTGGGCAGAACTGAAAGTGTGTGCGAGCAAGGAGGCCTACAAACCCGACTCAGTTACACCAGCTCTGTCAGGAGGAATGGGCCAAAATTCACCCAACTTATTGTGGGAAACTTGTGGAAGGCTACCAGAAACGTTTGACCCAAGTTAAACAATTTAAAAGCAATGCTACCAAATACTAATTGAGTGTATGTAAACTTCTGACCCATGGGAATGTGTGAAAGAAATAAAAGCTGAAATAGATCATTCCCTACTATTTTTCTGACATTTCACATTCTTAAAATTAAGTGGTGAACCTAACTGACCTAAGACAGGGAATATTTACTAGGATTAAATGTTAGGAATTGTGAAAAACTGAGTTTAAATATATTTGGCTAAGGTGCATGTAAACTTCCGACTTCAACTGTAGGCCTACGGCAAAACAGCATGTGCTTACTAAAGTTTTCCCACAGTTTGCAAACATACTAGACAAATACTAAGGGTGCAGTTACATAGCTATTTTATTTATACATTTCAGGGCCTGTATTCATAAAGTGTCTCAGAGTAAGAGTGCTGATATAGGTTCAGTTTTGCCTACTCGATTATAAAGAATAAGAGGGGGGACCTGATCCGAGATCAGCACTCCTACTCTGAGACGCTTTATGAATACGGCCCCTGAAACATCAGACATGACACTCTTGTCCTGGCTGTTTGCATTGTTTGCTTACTGACATAGTTTAAGGGAAACCCCAGACGGGGTGCCCACCCACTCACATGCCAAAGCGCAGGGTTCCCGATACGTAGGTCTGCCAGTGAGCACAGTAGAACATGAACATGCCGGCGAAGCAGCAGAAGAACATCCAGTCGGGGTTAGTTCCAAGTTGGACGGCGATACAGGTGCCCAAAACCACAAACACTAAGAGAGGGGAGAGAAAGAAGTCAGAGACAGAGAATGAGAGAGAGAGAGCGAGAGAGAGCAAGGGTGGGTGATAGAAATTAAGAGTCAAAGAGGCAGGTATATTCCAATCCTCACTTTGTCTTAATTGTGTGTGGAAATGAGAAAAATGTATTTTACTATGGGTCAAGTATCAATGCATGCCGAGAGAGAGGGAGGGCGAGGGGGGCAGAGTGACAGAGAGATAGCGAGAGACAGAGAGAGAAAAGAGAGAGAAGTTAAATTACACAACATGGTATTTCTCAGTCCTAAATCATTGAGTTGTTTACATCTGTAAGTGTGTTATGTCTACATTTATGGGTATATTGTGTATGTCTTTAAGTGCATATTTGGTGTGTCTGTCTTCCATTGTACTTTGTAGTCTGTGAGTGTGTTGTTTATGGTAGTTTGAGACTGTATACACACACTCGAGCACACACACCTGTTGAAAGAGAGTCACAGCCATGGTCAAACAGCTCTCCCAGTGGGGTGCTGCTATTGGTGCGCCGTGCTTGTTTCCCATCGATGGCGTCCAGTGATTGGTAGATGAAGAGGCCCACTGCACAAGACAGGTAAGCCCACAGCGGTGCCTGAAAGGAAAAGGGTACAAACATTCAACATCATAAACCTTTACAATAGTGCTCCTCGGCTTTCACAGAGAAGTATGGGTTTGGCCTTTATGGGGGGGGGGGGTAATATAATATACTTCCCTAAACAATATATAGGCCACTGGCTAAAGCACATATCACAGCATACTACAGGTCGCAGAGGGACCTAACATTTTTGGGAGAAAGACTGAGGTCAGTTCTGGTGACTTTTAAAAAAGGACATTCTACTCCAAAATGAATTCAAATAAAATGATGCTGACATCTCAAACATGATTTCCCCTCAAGAAATGAGCCCAATAACATATTGGTCCATATTATCAGGCAGGTGTGCTATTTAGCAATACGCTTTATCACCTGCTGTAGCCAACTGATGCAGCAAAGTGGCTATAAAAAAAACTAAACAATTGTCATCTGCAGTTACCCCATTGGACTAATCATTAGCAAAATCAAACTGTAAACATTATCTTGTTGCTAGTTAGCAACCTATTGATGACTTAAATGTCCCAAAAACAGTTCCACTGGCACTCAGACAATAATAATTTACTCTGAATTTAAAGTAACTATCACGTTTCCAGATTTCTATGAAATATAACCTAAATTAATTACAATATGAGTGAATGTTTTTTAAATTAAAGATGTTAAAAAGCAGCTTTTCTGTGTTGTAATGGTGTGGGAGTATACCGGTCATTAAAAATATTCACGCAAGTAAACTGCTGATTGGCGAGCTGACATCACCCTCTGAGGAAATAGCAAGCATTTTTTTTTAAGCGGTTTGTTTAGGGACATACTTTTCGTTGCATTTCGCCTGGTGGGTGGTGCTATACGTCACGGTGGGCATGGGTTTCAAAGTGCAAGGACTGTCCAATGCGTGTCCACATTCAACCTAGAACCCTCCACCTGTAGTCTGGGTACGAGTCGTTTTAGCTTACATTACACTCCTTGCCACTCCTGTCATTTGCCAAAGTAATTCCTGGTCATTTCCCATGTCTTTGGCAAATGACACTGAGTACAAGGAGTGTAATGAAATAGCTGAACAGATGGCAACCAGGCTGTGACCTCATTCATAAATTAAGCTATGGGGGGGTTTATACTTTATAGTTTACAATTGCACTTTCATATTAGCACTTCATCTTGATTTAATTGAACTAATGATAGCTAGCTACCAAGTGGCTGGACCAGTTTTCCCAAAAGTGAACAATGTGTAACGTCAAGTCTTGCTTGCTAGCCAACCAACAACATCAATGCTGCTATCAATCCAATCTACTAAGCTTACCCGAATGAAATGCACCACATATACAAAAGTATGTGGACACCCCTTCAAATTAGTGGATTCGGCTATTTCAGCCACACCCGTTGCGGACAGGTGTATAAAATAGAGCACACAGCCATGCAATCTCCATAGACAAACATTGGCAGTAGAATGACCTTACTGATGAGCTCAGTGACTTTCAACATGGCACCGTCATAGGATGCCACCTTTCCAACAAGTCAGTTTGTCAAACTTCTGACCTGCTAGAGCTGCCCTGATCACAGAGTTCCAAACTGCCTCTAGAAGCAATGTCAGCACAAGAACTGTTCGTCGAGAGCTTCATGAAATGGGTTTCCATGGCCGAGCAGCCGCACACAAGCCTAAGATCACCATGCGCAATGCCAAGCGTTGGCTGGAGTGGTGTAAAGCTTGCCGCCATTGGACTCTGGAGCAGTGGAAACGCGTTCTCTGGAGTGATGAATCACGCTTCACCATCTAGTCCAACTGACGAATCTGGGTTTGGCGGATGCCAGGAGAACGCTATCTGCCCCAATGCATAGTGCCAACTGTAAAGTTTGGTGGAGGAGAACTAATGATCTGGGGCTGTTTTTCATGGTTCGGGCAAGGCCCCTTAGTTCCAGTGAAGGGAAATCTTAACGCTACAGCATACAATAATATTCTAGATGATTCTGTGCTTCCAACTTTGTGGCAACAGTTTGAGGAAGGCCCTTTCCTGTTTCAGCATGACAATACCCCTGTGCACAAAGCGACGTCCATACAGAAATGGTTTGTCGAGATTGGTGTGGAGGAACTTGACTGGTCTGCACAGAGCCCTGACCTCAACCCCATCGAACACATTTGGGATGAATTGGAATGCCGACTGCGAGCCAGACCTAATCGCCCAACATCAGCACCCAACCTCACTAATGCTCTTGTGGCTGAATGGAAGCAAGTCCCTGCAGCAATGTTCCAACATCTAGTGGAAAGCCTTCCCAGTAGAATGGAGGCCGTTATAGCAGCAAAGGGGGATCAACTCCATATTAATGCCCATGATTTTGGAATGACGTGTTCGACGAGTAGGTGTCCACATACTTCTGATCATGTAGTGTATATGAAACGGATCATGACTAGATTAGTTAGTCAACATGCAATAATACCTGTATCCTGTCAATCACGGAGATGAATTATTTGCATTGCTGGCTTCATTAAAAACTGTTAATCTGATTTTGGATGTCCTTGGTCTTATTTATTTGTTCAAGGGCCTATACACGAGGCCAACTTTACCATATTATCCTGGAGGCATACTTACTCATTACTTTGTGTGAATGATATCTCAACTTTAAACAATAGCTTCTTTCTATTCTGTGGCTGCATGAAATAGCAAACATAACATGAATTCAGTGATGACGGTACCCTCTATTGCTGCTTTGACTGTAATACCAGTGTTACACTAGTGCAGGGATCATCAACTACATTTAGCCTAAGGCCAGTGTTTTCTTGAGCGGATGGTCAGGGGGCCGGAACATAATAACAAATCATTTGTAGACTGCAAATTGACCGCAAGAAGTCCAAACACTGCGGTAAATCTTCAGTGGAAATGTGCCATATATGACTTAGAGCAGTGTGTTGAATAAATTCCACGATACGGACATGAGCGAGTGCTCGGTTTGTCCTCGAAAATGTGTGCACCGGTACGTGTGCTGAAATGTACACCCACCGTGACGTATAGCACCTCCCACCGGGCGAAATGCTGTGAAAAGTGTGTCCCAGTCTGTTTGAGTTGGAGTTTTTTAAGTGTTCTTTCTCCAATGTATGCTTTGGCCACTAACACAAGTATAGGATGAGTCGACATCATCATTTGGGTGCAGAATATGAACTTTTCAAATGTGAGATTTTCACTGGACAGTTACTTTAAAGTAGGCCTACCTGCTACACCTGATCCGTGTTACATTTAGCCCCAGTCTACCCTATGCATTAAAGGGACATTGGCAAGGCTAACCCTGCTAAAAACTCTAGTTCTAAAAAAAAGGTGCAGTTCACACATTTTGGGGATTTGAGAAATAAGTGTAACACTAGAAAGCTCTGTGATCTCTTATAACTGCATTAACAATGTTGTGCAATGACTAGGCATGCATGTTTCTCTCCCTATGCGCTGTGCAGCACTCGCAATTTGAAAGCACCAGAGAGGAATATTATCTACTCGCATAGAACGTGACAAGCTGGCCAATTGAATAGGTAATCTATTCTACTATGGGGTTGTCTGATTTTGCTGTTGCTTACTTGTTTTGTTGGCTGAGGAAATTAATATGAGGACAACCATTTTTCAGTAGATAATTCAGAATTCGCATAACCAAAGGTACCAGGTCTCAGGCTCCACCTGGCTTTAATTTGACCCGGTCCAATTTAATCCCTGGCAACAACAGATCCATTTAAAAAAAATCCTTCAACTGATTGGGTTGTAAGTAACCGAATCCTGCAAGACAACACGGATAAGCAGGACAGTCATGCCTTCCCATGTGTCAGCATACAGTTTTGACAAAAGTGTGTTTAATATCAGACTAAGAGGGCCAGTTTGTTTGAACAGCTGCCCCTTAACTAGCCCTGGGAGGAGGAATACATGGAGGGATCTAGTAACCGTTGTGCAAGCTTCCCTGATAACACAGTGTAGCTGATAAAATGTGAATGCAACATACAGTAGTCTAACAATATGGAGGGGAGGTTGGGTCAATTGCAGATTAAACAATGGCCTCAAATGATCTCATTTTCAGACACAAGCTAATTTATTAACAACATTGGCTATATAACAGTCACGCCTCCAGCTCCAAAGCGTTAAAAACAAGTAACGATCAAACCCAACCCGTGACCTTGATTTCTCCACTGATCCTGTGTGGGTCAGTCAGTAGAGAAAGTGTTGGGGGTTTGATTCCCGCTGGGGCCACCCATACGAAAAATGTGCACTCATGACTAAGTCGCTTTGGATAAAAGCGTCTGCTAAATGGCATATTTTATATACAGTTAGGGGAAAAAAAGTATTTAGTCAGCCACCAATTGTGCATGTTCTCCCACTTAAAAAGATGAGAGAGGCCTGTAATTTTCATCATAGGTACACGTCAACTATGACAGACAAATTGAGAAAAAAAAATCCTGAAAATCACATTGTAGGATTTTTTATGAATTTATTTGCAAATTATGGTGGAAAATAAGTATTTGGTCGCCTACAAACAAGCAAGATTTCTGGCTCTCACAGACCTGTAACTTCTTCTTTAAGAGGTTCCTCTGTCCTCCACTCGTTACCTGTATTAATGGCACCTGTTTGAACTTGTTATCAGTATAAAAGACACCTGTCCACAACCTCAAACAGTCACACTCCAAACTCCACTATGGCCAAGACCAAAGAGCTGTCAAAGGACACCAGAAACAAAATTGTAGACCTGCACCAGGCTGGGAAGACTGAATCTGCAATAGGTAAGCAGCTTGGTTTGAAGAAATCAACTGTGGGAGTAATTATTAGGAAATGGAAGACATACAATACCACTGATAATCTCCCTCGATCTGGGGCTCCACGCAAGATCTCACCCCGTGGGGTCAAAATGATCACAAGAACGGTGAGCAAAAATCCCAGAACCACACGGGGGGACCTAGTGAATGACCTGCAGAGAGCTGGGACCAAAGTAACAAAGCCTACCATCAGTAACACACTACGCCGCCAGGGACTCAAATCCTGCAGTGCCAGACGTGTCCCCCTGCTTAAGCCAGTACATGTCCAGGCCCGTCTGAAGTTTGCTAGAGTGCATTTGGATAATCCAGAAGAGGATTGGGAGAATGTCATATGGTCAGATGAAACCAAAATAGAACTTTTTGGTTAAAACTCAACTCGTCGTGTTTGGAGGACAAAGAATGCGGAGTTGCATCCCAAGAACACCATACCTACTGTGAAGCATGGGGGTGGAAACATCATGCTTTGGGGCTGTTTTTCTGCAAAGGGACCAGGACGACTGATCCGTGTAAAGGAAAGAATGAATGGGGCCATGTATCGTGAGATTTTGAGTGAAAACCTCCTTCCATCAGCAAGGGCATTGAAGATTAAACGTGGCTGGGTCTTTCAGCATGACAATGATCCCAAACACACCGCCCGGGCAACGAAGGAGTGGCTTCGTAAGAAGCATTTCAAGGTCCTGGAGTGGCCTAGCCAGTCTCCAGATCTCAACCCCATAGAAAATCTTTGGAGGGAGTTGAAAGTCTGTGTTGCCCAGTGACAGCCCCAAAACATCACTGCTCTAGAGGAGATCTGCATGGAGGAATGGGCCAAAATACCAGCAACAGTGTGTGAAAACCTTGTGAAGACTTACAGAAAACGTTTGACCTGTGTCATTGCCAACAAAGGGTATATAACAAAGTATTGAGAAACTTTTGTTATTGACCAAATACTTATTTTCCACCATAATTTGCAAATAAATTCATAAAAAAATCCTACAATGTGATTTTCTGGATTTTTTTTCTCATTTTGTCTGTCATAGTTGACGTGTACCTATGATGAAAATTACAGGCCTCTCATCTTTTTAAGTGGGAGAACTTGCACAATTGGTGGCTGACTAAATACTTTTTTCCCCCCACTGTATAGACTCAGACTTAAGAGGACTCAAATACTAAAGACCATGCGACTGTTTAGCTAAAAATACATAACAGCCCACATCCGATTCTAATCTGAGGGAGACACACTGTTCTATTTGCCTATCGATACCCTCTATGGCTTAAGAGGCGGGAGGAGGGGCAAGGGGTGCGTTGAGGGGGTCTGAGGCTAAAGGTGTAATCTGAGAGGACGGGGACAAGTGGTGCCTGTCCCCAAGAACCCTGTAAGGCATCCCCCACGCACCTCTTCCAGCAAAACAAGCACACAGGACATGGAGCATTGCGCATGCCTGGCCTGGCCCAAGTGACCCAGAGAAAGGAAAATCAAAACAACGTGTCGAATGTTAAATATTGACAAACTAACAAACGTTGGTCAACCTTTTTCATTCACAAAGTCATAGCCTAGTCATATCTACTTTGTTAAAATTGACAGCCTTAAATGCCCTTGATTGTTTTTATTCTATAATGTTGTTTAAAGCATTTAAGCACAACACTTTTGTGGTGATACACACATCCTGCTGTATCACATCTTCTAAGCAAAACCATTAAGGCAAACTAACTGGTTTCGCATTGGCAGGCTACATTCATAAACACACATCCTTTCACACACATCCTTTCATGAACCAGTTGATCATCTACAACACAACATGTTACGTAGGAGCAATTCCATGGTAACAGAGTGATGCTGAAACTCTTGATTTTTCACTTGAAAATGTATGTCAAACAAAAACCAGTTAAACAAACCATAACTCTATGCACCATGACTACTTTTAACAATTTACAAAGAAAATGTTACATAAACACATTTATTGAAGAACAGTGCAAATGCTTAAGTTTGGAAACAGAATGACAGTTTGTGCTGTTGGTGCCATCATTCTGTTCCCAACCTTTGCTTCTGCACTGTTCAAGTACATGTGTTTTCATAAAAATTGTAAGTGAAAAATCTTAGTCTTAGCATCACTCTGATACTGTGGAATTGCCCATATTATTTCAACGTGCAAAACCCCAGAAGAAGAATCATAACTCTTCAACAGGACAGATTTCAAAAACATGTCACTAGTACCAACTCACACAATTTAATTTTAGTTATACAACATCGGTAGTGTTGACATTAGACCTCCACATGGAAGGTCAGACTGCATGGCGGCCAAAACACCTACCCACCCTAAAAACAAGTCAAAGGGCTCTGTGTCTGAAAACATTATTTGCTGGTGTCAAATCCTTGCATCATGGTTTCCTCAATTTCTCTCAAAGCGCATTAGAGGAGAGGATCTAGGGTCCCTCCCATCGACCTCCTCCAATTGCGGAAACTAGGCTAGAGGGAAGGAGGATTTGACAGCTGGGAACGTTTTCAGACAGCCAAGGAAGTGATATTCAAATTCAGTGAGGAGGTGACGTGTAGCTCAGTTGGTAGAGCATGGCGCCAGGGTTGTGGGTTCAATTCCCACGGGGGGCCAGTACGATAAAAGTATGAAAATGTATGCACTCACTATTGTAAGTCGCATCTGCTAAATGACTAAAATGTAAATGTAGAAAGTAATGGTTTGTGGCATTCTGGTGTTTTACCATAACACCATGTTCATCAAATACTGTTACTGTAAGATGGTTTAGAATAGCCTAATTCTCACAGAGACAACAAGGATAGTAGGTATAGTGTAGTATTCTTATCTAGAACAAATTGCACCCAACATTGACAAAACAATCGTATCTGCTAGAGACAGACATTTTGATAAACTTTTGCTCCGAAAGGGTAGGCTATATCTGACAATTACCCAATCAATACTGTTCCATCAAGAAATTCTGAAAGAAATACTGATGGCCTCTTCTATTCTCTATGTCCTGTCCGTAGTGTATATTATTACAGCCGTTACAACAAACATTGACCTAATAATCCATGGTTATTACTTAGTAGGAATACCTGCTGATGAATTCATTTAAATATGTATACTCAGTGGGAGGGAGGGCCATATGAGCGACAGTGTGCATAAGGGCTCCAACCTCAAATTCCTTCCGGGGCCTAGAATTCCCAGCATGGACCTACCTGTTCAGTGGCTGTGGGGCAGTAGTACACCAGCACCAATGTGGTGAGGATGTTGGTGGCCAGGCCCACAATAGTGATGAGGTTGGGGGCTATCCATGCCGGCACACGTGCCACTAGCCACTCCCAGTAGTGCTGCATGAAGGGCTCCAGAAGGGAGCGGCCTGCACTGCTGTACCTGTGCTCCTCTAACTTCTTCAGCTGGTGGCGCGACAGCGGCGGAGCCGGCAGTTGGATCAGCTTACTCAGGACACAGGAGCTTCCGCCACCACTGCAGGCTATGGTTGGGCCTGCAGTGGTGGTAGGCCTGTATGAAGGGTCCACGCTCTGGTCCTGAGGGGTCCATGTCATTGTCCCCCCTGCCCCCTGGCCTGCCTTCGCCGCCCGGGTCCGTGGTGCTCTCTCACCGGTGCTGCTACTCATAGGGGAAGTCGAAACTGCACTTCACGTAGCACCTGCTCTGCCTACGACTGCCTCCGCCCCAGTCCAATGCAGGGAATCCACAGTGGGGCCACAACACTTTTACTGGGCTGAAGCCTAATGCGGAGAAAGAGAGATGTATCTTTTATTTGACCGTAATGTTAAGCATAATTTGACTGTGGCAGCATACTGGGCACAACTTGCAGAGGGAGGGCTGGTAAAACAGGAACTCATCAACCATACATGCTTATCATATTTCCTGATAGATTGTGCTAATATTGCAAACAGCAGTCAGTGAGACAAAATAAATAAATGCAAGACTTGCATAGCTAAAGCATTGAATTGTCAAGGGTATGTACTTTGGGCAGACAATTGTATGCCTACCCATAGTGAATAATAACCAAATCATGTCTACAAAAAATACATTAAAAAAAACAATGTTGAATAGTTAGTTAGGAGGTTCATGTCATGTTGCCCTACAGTACTAGTTAGGTAACGTTAGCTAGCTAGCTACCAACAAAATCAACTGGCTAGCTAACGTTACCTTGCTAGCTATCTATCAATATCAGCTGTAGCTAACTAAAGGTAACTGTCGCAACATATATTTTATCATATTACCATATGTATAAAATGTAAAATAAGTTGTCAATACAATAAAATGTTGATTATGAAGAGCTGAGTTGACATGCAGTTGTCCTTCGGAAATCTCTTACCTAGCTAGCTTGCTTGATTCCGGTATACGGAAACGATGGCCTCTATCGTGGTTTGGCTAACAGCTAGTGCTTACTACACTATGCGGCAACCTCGTACTCTTCTGTCAGCTTATATGTAGCTAACAAGTATATCGACCAGGGACAGCAGTCTAGTTCCCACCGAGTTAGAGCTGTTTTCGGGAAGATTAGAATCAGCTGATGCAGGTAGATATCGCGAAACTCGACCGCGGCATTGAGAAAGAGCGGAGAGATATTTGACAGGCAGGTGTAGGGATTTCCCACTTCCGTCGCACAATTAAAAAGACCGGCTCCTTCAGCTTTTTATGATAATTTAGTATGACATACAATACATTAGAATAGTATATTAATAAACCGTTGCATTAGTTTAATATCAAAATAACTCAAATGAACTGTAAATGGAATGAACAGTGGTATGTCAAATTTTGAAATACCCACATTTTGAAATACCGAAAGGCAACTACTTTGTACCATAATCCAAGCTGCCTTTGCTTTTAGATTGAGACACAGCATCTTTCTATAGATACACTACATGACCAAAAGTATGTGGACACCTGCTCGTCGAACATCTCATTCCAAGACATGGCCATTAATATGGAGTTGGTCCCCTCTTTGCTGTTATAACAGCCTCCACTCTTCTGGGAAGGCTTTCCACCAGATGTTGGAACATTGCTGCGGGAACTTGCTTCCATTCAGCCACAAGCGCATTAGTGAGGTCGGGCACTGATGTTGGGGGATTAGGCCTGGCTATCAGTCGGCGTTCCAATTCATCCCAAAGGTGTTCAGTGGGGTTGAGGTCAGGGCTCTGTGCAGGCCAGTCAAGTTCTTCCACACCGATCTCGACAAACCGTTTCTGTATGGACCTCGCTTTGTGCACGGGGGCATTGTCATGCTAAAACAGGAAAGGGCCTTCCCCAAACTGTTACCACAAAGTTGGAAGCACAGAATCGTCTAGAATGTCATTTTATGCTGTAGCATTAAGATTTCCCTTCAGGTGCCTAGCCCGAACCATGAAAAACAGCCCCAGACCATTATTCCTCCTCCACCAAACTTTACAGTTGGCACTATGCATTGGGGCAGGTAGCGTTCTCCTGGCATCCGCCAAACCCAGATTCGTGAGTTGGACTGCCAGATGGTGAAGCATGATTCATCACTCCAGAGAACGCGTTTCCACTGCTCCAGAGTCCAATGGCAGCGAGCTTTACGCCACTCAAGCCGACGCTTGGCATTGCACATGGTGATCTTAGGCTTGTGTGTTGCTGCTCAGCCATGGAAACCCATTTCATGAAGCTCCCGACGAACAGTTATTGTGCTGACGTTGCTTCCAGAGGCAGTTTGGAACTCGATAGTGAGTGTTGCAACCGAGGACAGACTAATTTTACGCGCTACGAGCTTAAGCACTTGGTGCTCAGTTTCTGTGAGCTTGTGTGGCCTACCACTTCGCGGCTGAGCCGTTGTTGCTCTTAGACGTTTCCACTTCACAATAACAGCACTTACAGTTGACCGGGGCAGGTCTAGCTGGGCAGAAATTTGATGAACTGACTTGTTGGACATGTGGCATCCTATGACTGTACCACGTTGAAAGTCACTGAGCTCTTCAGTAAGGCCATTCTATTGCCAATGTTTGTCTATGGAGATTGCATGGCGGTGTGCTGGATTTTATACACCTGTCAGCAACGGGTGTGGCTGAAATAGCAGAATCTACTCATTTGAAGGGGTGTCCACATACTTTTGTTTATATAGTGTTTTACGAAATGAAAAGTTAACTTACAAATTTGTGCTTAATGGCATGGTGTTTATGTAGGCTACACTTCCAATGAAGTAGCCTCGTAGGCCTATGCTTATTATCTTGTGAATGTAGGTCACTTATTGCATGGAGAAGAATTGCGCTTCCTGTCGGGCTCAAGGGCTGGGGTTTGGGTAAAGCCCCGTCTGAGACAGTAATTTTACGTTCCATTATTGTAACCTAAAAGCCAACAGGTCTAGCCACTAGCCTCTATAAGATGAACAAGTGGTAGCCTAAATTAGCGTTATAACTGAGACAAATAGCCTGTAACGGAGACGATGCCACTGTTTTGGGATAACCTATGAATCCTTCATTCCTCCCATCCTTGGATAGTGAAAAGCGATATTACGCTAGGCCACGAACCAAATCATGTCAGATCAGTTATTATTTATTTATTTCCTATCATCATTTATCTAATAGGCCTACACTATATTTAGATCAATTATTATTTCAAGAAAGGGAGAATGCACCCATGAATATATTCAAACAGCACCTCACATTAGCTGGTTTGCGCATGCAGGAGTGGTCCTTGAGTTGCCTCTCCTCCCACAAACACTTGCGTCAAACCACTGCGTCATTGTTCATTACCAGCCGTTGCATAGGCCTATAATTTATTTTTTCACTTTTCCACTGTAATGTACGATTAGCCTACAGGTTAAGGTACTCAATCTAGTGGGCCACTATAGTTTTATAATTTGGAGAGCAGCTTGACATGGGACATACACACGCATAGCCCCTGGTCTCCAGGATCCCAAGATAATTAGTTTTATTGGGTGTGCTCACGTAGCCTACTAGCCTATAGTTGTTAGAAGGATAGTTGGCATAAGGGGGAAATAATACTGTTAGTAAAGCACCATGGATAAGATCGTTAATAGTTTCCATTATGCACAGATTTTTTGCAAGGTGTTCGCCGAGGCTACGCAGCAGAACGTGGTAGCGAATTCGGAAGGGACTCAACCCCAGTTCTCTTCGCATTCAGTGACAGTGCCGAGAAAGTTTTTTGTTTGTGCTCATAACGCACCATGGCTGTTAGAAGTGTATGTGTATAGTCTGAAATGGCCGGTTATTAGATTGATAAACATGAGTGCGCAGTGACGCCTGTTTGAACAAGTATATTAGATCATTAGATTCATGGCCATTTGTTTGTTTTGCCTCTACTTTTTACCGCCCACACACTCACCTGCATACACACACACAACCCGCCCGTCTCTACCTATGTATGTAACCACGGTTCCTCTTTCAAAAAAATAATCTGTGGCACAACCTTTTCCAGGTCCTAATACTTATAATAAAATCGTTATTATGTGCTAAAAGAGCAAGTATTTCCTTCTTACTAAAGCCAATTCTAAATTATAGTTTCATCAGGTCATCTAACTCAGACATTTCAACGTTGGCGCGTACAGCAACAGGGAGACAGATTCCCGTTGTCTGTGAAACTCGCGGTTTGGTGCGACGCAGATCCGGTGGAGAGCATAGGGAAACGGAGAAGATGTCTGTTTTGTTGAGTTTTGATGTAGACTCTTTGCCATATAAGGTTAAGGTAGGTGTGTACGTTATCCAGTGAGAGCGTTTGTTTCTAAAATACTTCAGTGTTTTAGGTGTCAAGTTTATGGGCATGTTGCAGCAGTATGTAGGAGGCAGAGTCCTAGATGTGAGAAGTGTGCAGGAGGGCAAGAGACGAAGGAATGTGTAGTTTCGGTGGAGAAAGTTGTGTTTTAGTTGTGGGGGTGCCCATGGAGTTGGAGATGTCCGGTGAGAGAATGGCAGGTTGAGGTTGCTAGGGTCAGAGTAGTACAGAAAGTGTTGTATACTGAAGCAGTGTAGAGAGCGGTAGAGGAAGATGGGTACAGGGTGAGGAATCCTGAGGATGATTCCTGTGAGTAGGCAGAGACTAATAGAGAGAGTGATGGGAAGAATATGTGCTTCAGTAAGATAGGTTTCTTGGGATTCATAGCTATGGTTGTCAATTGTACTGCAGAAATGGATCGAAAGTCACAGAAAATAGAGGTTGTGGTGGCAGTGGCAGAGAAATACTTGGGATTGCGATGTTTTACTGCAGAACAGTTGCAGGGGGTGTTGAGTGGTAGTAGTGTTCTGTCCTCCCAGACCGTTGGTCTGGAGTAGAATCAGATAGGGTAAGTAGTGGAATGGGGTGGTGTTTTTATTATTTGTATATTTGTTTTATAGAAAGGGCGAATACTTGTCAGGGTCATTTGTCCCTTTCCTTATCCCCAATTCTACAGTACCGTATCACAAATAATTTAATGTAGATAGGCCGTGTTGGCCTCATACTCCACTACAGTAGGTGGCGGTGTATTCACCTTAAATTGGATGCGATCCGCCAACGCAATCCCAAAGAAGAAGAAGCGGTGTGGCAAATATCAAATCGTTGCGCATCGCCTTTTGGCCACAAAGCGTCTTGATGAGTTTAATTAAAGCGAAAGGGAAAGACGGGGTTGAGCCACACACAGCCCAGCAGAGAGAGAGGTCGTTCCTGCGGAGGTAAGATAACAGAAGACAAACTTGCCGAGAAACCGAATCGTTTTTTCAGCTATGCCATCTAACGTTAGCTAGATGAAGCTGTGGTTAGGCATAGTTTTGAAATGCATATAAAATGTACTTTTGTCTGGAATTTAGTACGTTTGCTTGCTAGCTAACATTACTAGCTAGCTAGGTACGTTAAATTCGGAAGGGATGATTGGGTTTGCGGAACTAGCTACCTGTAACCTGGCAGCAGTAAACAGCTAGGCTAGCTAACATTGTCTTTAATGCCACAACAACACAGGCTAGTTATATAACGTTAGGTATCCGCGTTTTTCCTCAACTCCACGATGTAGCTAGCTACATCACATCAACAGACATACAAACGTGTGCGAAGTCAAAGATATTATGGGATTTGATGGCTTGGTCAAAGATACTGATAGCTAGCCCGTTACCTAGCTAGACACACTTGCCTTGTTGTGACAGGTTTGAAAGTGTTGGCTAACTTAGTTGGTATTTTACTTTAGCTTTTTAGCTAATTGTCATATCTGATGAAGCCCTCCACTTTGCACTTGTCATTGAGCTAGCCAATAACTATAGGTTGCTGTTACCTAGCTAGCTATTTACATGCAGCTAAAGTTAACGAATGCATTTATCCAGGGCAGACAGTCAACCTAAACCAGACTGAATGTACTAGCTAACTAGTTAGCTAGTTATAGCTATCTCTGGCTTAGCTAGCTAGCTACAGTGCCTTACAAAAGTATTCATCCTCCTTGGCGTTTTTCCTATTTTGTTGCATTACAACCTGTAATTTAAATGGGTTTTTATTTGGATTTCATGTAATGGACATACACAAAATAGTCCAAATTGGTGAAGTGAAATGAAAAAAATTACTTGTTAAAAAAAAATACTAACAAATAAATAACGGAAATGTGGTGCGTGCATATGTATTCACCCCTTTGCCATGAAGCCTCTAAATAAGATCTGGTGCAACCAATTACCTTCAGAAGTCACATAATTAGTTAAATAAAGTCCACCTTGGTGCAATTTAAGTGTCACATGATCTCAGTATATACACACCTGTTCTGAAAGGCCCCAGAGTCTGCATCACCACCAAGCAAGCAGCACCATGAAGACTAACAGGTCAGGGACAAAGTTGTGGAGAAGTACAGATCAGGGTTAGGTTATAAAAAAATATCTGAAACTTTGAACATCCCACAGAGCACCATTAAATCCATTATTTAAAAATGGAAAGAATAGGCACCACAACAAACCTGCCAAGAGAGGGCCGCCCACCAAAACCCATGGACCAGGCAAGGAGGGCATTAATCAGAGACACAACAAAGAGACCAAAGATAACCCTGAAGGAGCTGCAAAGCTCCACAGCGGAGATTGGAGTATCTGTCCATAGGACCACTTTAAGTCGTGCACTCCACAGAGCAGGGCTTTACGGAAGAGTGGCCAGAAAAAAGCCATTGCTTAAAGAAAAAAATAAGAAAACACGTTTGGTGTTCGCCAAAAGGCATGTGGGAGACTCCCCAAACATATGGAAGAAGGTACTCTGGTCAGATGAGACTTTTTGGCCATCAAGGAAAACGCTATGTCTGGCGCAAACCCAACACCTCATCACCCCGAGAACACCATGATACTGCCACTACCATGCTGTGGGGATGTTTTTCATCGACAGGGACTGGGAAACTGGTCAGAATTGAAGGAATGATGTATAGTGCTAAATACAGGGAAATTCTTGCGGGAAACATGTTTCAGTCTTCCAGAGATTTGACACTGGGATGGAGGTTCACCTTCCAGCAGGACAATGACCCTAAGCATACTGCTAAAGCAACAATCAAGTGGTTTAAGGGGAAACATTTAAATGTCTTGGAATGGCCTAGTCAAAGCCCAGACCTCAATCCAATTGAGAATCTGTGGTATGACTTAAAGATTGCTGTACACCAGCAGAACCCATCCAACTTGAAGGAGCTGGAGCAGTTTTGCCTTGAAGAATGGGCAAAAATCCCAGTGGCTAGATGTGCCATGCTTATAGAGACACACCCCAAGAGACGAAGCTGTAATTGCTGCAAAAGGTGGCTCTACAAAGTATTGACTTTGGGGAGGTGAATAGTTATGCACGCTCAAGTTTTCTATTTTTGTTTATTTTTTTTGCATCTTCAAAGTGGTAGGCATGTTGTGTAAATCAAATGATACAACCCCCCCCCCAAAATCCATTTTAATTCCAGGTTGTAAGGCAACAAAATAGGAAAAATGCCAAGGGGGGTGGGGGGGTTGGGGGGGGGGGGGTGAATACTTCCGCAAGCCAATGTACATGACAGATATTTATAGCTAGCTAGCTTCTTTTATTTGTAAATATTAAGTAGCTATTTGTGGGTAAGGCATGCTTGAGTTGTTTGCATGTCTTGTAGGGTTTTGTAAACAGCTTCGACAGACGAGGTGACATATCCATGATGGTGCACACAGCCTACCCATCTCTGATTCACAGTAATGCTCCATCAGCATTGGGTGCACAAAATTGATTTCCACACCATCTTAACTGCTCTGTCACAATATTATTGACCATCCTTTATTATAGTACTGCACACATGGCGACTTTAATTCTCGTTTTATAGGGCACCAGCCATTCCTTTTAATGACCTTATTCAGTGCCCAACTGAATATCTGCCAAATAATTGAATTGCCCTGACCTTCAAGCATCGGCAACACACAAATCAAGGGCTTTGTCAATGCTTGGAGCTCTTAGCCAAACGGCAGACTCTTTCCACGTGCCCCTCCTCCTGCTACCTCAAGGGTACAGTGTCCCTGTTGCTCAGCCATGTAGAACGCACTGAGTGGACATTGAGTTACTCTACAGCGACTAAAAGAGACCAGCCTTTGCACTAAAATCATCAAAGCTTGACAAGGAGTTGATCATTTGAATCAACTGTGTAGTGCTAACACAAAGATTTGCACCCCTTTGTGTCTCCAGGACCAGGATTGAGAACCACTGGTCTACAGGATAAAGGCTGCTTAATTGCAAACCAAATCAAATTTTATGTCACATGCGCCGAATCCAACCGGTGTAGACCTTACCGTGAAATGCTTACTTACAAGCCCTTAACCAACAATGCAGTTTTAAGAAAAATATTAGCTAAATAAACTAAAGAGCAACAATAAAATAAGAATAACGAGGCTATATACAGGGGGTACCGGTACCGAGTCAATGTACGGGTTAGTCGAGGTAATTGAGGTAATATGTACAAGTAGGTAGGGATAAAGTCCCCCCCCTTCCCGTGCATCCCTCAGGTAACCATGGCAATGACGGGCCAGAGTTCCTGCTCCTCGATGAGTAACCACACCAAGGAGCGTGTGACCATGGCCAAAGTAACCCTGGAGAACTTCTACAGCAACCTCATCGCCCAACACGAGGAGAGAGAGATGAGGTAGACTGCACACGCAATGCCTTCCACCGACAGCCATTGTTTCCAATTCCTCTGTTCTCTATTGCTACATTCTTCTTATGCGTTATGACATTCAAGGTGGCGGTTGCTAACTTTGTGGTATTTGTGTTTAATGAATGTGTTGTTGGCTGACGATTAGACTAAGAAATGGTGACCACTGCATTATATCTGTAGAAGACATTCATATTTTAACAATAGCTTTTCCCTCCCCTGTTTTTTTTAAATATTGGGCTGATGACACTTGTCTGTCTTGCTTAGTAGGCCTGTATGCTCTTTCTGATGCAAATTGTCTGGGGTGTTTTTTCATGTTACCTCCCTGGCTCTCTTTGAGGGAAACCACACCCTGTCTGTGTTAGCTCTAGCACACTGAGGTCATTTCAGTTTCGAGATAAAGACTGATGTGTGAAGATTGAATGTGTGTGGCACTGACTGGGGGCTTTTTTTTAAACTTGTGATCTTGGAAAAAGTAGGCAGAGTTTCAACAGTGCGACAAACCAGAACGTTTACACACATTCTTGACATGATTTCAAAGTGTGTGTATATGTGTGTTTATATGCATGTCATCCATCAGCGCAATGACCATTTCTGTTCAAACACTGTCACCTGAGTAATGAGTTTAATGATCAAACAAGCAGCAGATGGTGGAGACATGAGTTGGCTATTGTCAAGTAGCGGTCTGAGTCAGTCTCGCCCTCAAGGCCATGTTTGTGTCGACTTCACTGTTTATCAGTTTCCTCTTGAATACTCAGTGGCACCAATCCAACCCCTACTAGCACTTAGCCCTATTAATATCACTGGAGACCAAAGGTTACGTGGCAGGTCTCTTATCTCAGCGGCTTCAGCTTAGAGCAGAGAAGGAAATTACACTACTAATATGCAAGTCCCTGGGTCGCATTCATTAGCGCACACCGTAGCAAATCGTTTTGCAACGGAACACAAAAACAAGGATTTCTTATGTTCTGTTTCGTTCCTAGTGAATACGACCCTGATGTTGTGGTGATGGGGTTGATCCATAAAAAGCATGTGGGCACAAGGACCGAACGACACCCGTCTGTGTGCTTTTCTGGAAGGATACTTCTCAATGACGCATTAAAACTCTTAGTCCCTTACACATTTTGCTACCTGAGCCAGTGAAGGTTACTCTTTCTCTCAAGATAGAGATGGGTGGCTGTGTTATGGTGCACTTAATTGGTGTTATAGGAGCATCATTATATGGCTCAGCTGGAACCAATCTCCCCTCTCACAGCAGTGTCAGTTCTTGAACAAAAGTTGTCTTGAACAAAGTATCAACCAAACACCATACACATTAGTTGAATGAAAGTTATTTTTCTTGCATTTCTGTTCCAGGCAACAAAAGTTGGAGAAGCTGATGGACCAAGAGGGCTTGGCGGATGAAGAGGTGGGGTTGCGCACGTACACAGACACCAGGGTTTCTGTTATGAACATGTGGCGCTGGACATTTGACCGGCAACGTTTAAAATGTACCGGCCCAAAATGCATTGGGTGCATAACCTGATTAGGGCGCCCACCCACAGTGCTCAGAATAACAGAAATCACATTTGGAATATGGTAATTCATATGAACAGAACATGCAAGTTGAGATTGCAATGATGTGTGGTCCTTACTGAATTCTGATGTGCACTTTGAACATGTTAGAATTTACTTTTCCTCAGCCAACAAGATTAGTAACGAACAGCAAAATCTCTAGCCAGTGTCAATCTACTATAGTAGAAATGTTAGGCTACCTATTCTATTGGTCAGCTTGTCGAGAAATAGTATATTCCAAACTGACTCTGGGACAGTTGTGGGACGATAGATTCCAAATTCATACAACCAGTAGGCCTAGGATACATAGTTAATAAAATATGTTAAAAAGCAATGAATCTGATGTAATGGATCAGAACATTTAGCTTAAAATGTTGAATAACTATTTCTTCACATTATAAGCCCAGCAATGTGCACAAGGCAGTAGACTCACGAATGTTAGTTCCATAATGCAATTAGCGGGAAAACAATTAAGTGTATGTTTTCAAAATGCATACTGCCTCCAGCTCATTGCAAAGTGGTGTGTGACGTGCTGATGAAGCCTGCCTTCCATTGCCATTTGATGTCGTGTTCAAAACAACTCAAATCTCAGGCTTCAGTGCATTCAAGACAACTGGGAATAAAATGAGTTCCGACTGGGGGAAAATCGTTTTGAACGGTCATCCAACTCGTAATTTCAACTCTGGAGTCGGGCTTCTTTCTAGCGCTCAGATTTTCCGACCTGAAGATCACCTTTAGTCATGATTTGACTTCATATTTTCCAGAGTTCCCAGTTGTCTTGAAAGCACCACAAGATGCTGCTGCTGCTGCAGCGCTTGCACTGTCAGACAGATTTTCCACTCAAAGGCTCTATCTGTATGCTGTACACATGGGATAAGTAAGATAACGAATGTACTGTACACGCGCCAATTTAATTCCACTAAATTATGCAAATTAACCTATAGACCGTTAAGCATGACGAGTCAAATGTATTTCCATTGTCTGGTATTTCCATCAATGAATAGGCTAAAAAGCATTATTTCACAATGGGATTTTTTTCTTCTCCCGGCCAAAAAGATCGGCTTTTCAACATTTATCAGACAAAAGCCGGCTATTACTGGCTAACGGAAACCCTGACACAGACATTTACATTTTTAGTCATTTAGCAGACGCTCTTATCCAGAGCGACTTACAGTTAGTGAGTGCATACATAATTTTTTTAAACAATTTTATTTTGTATTTTATTTTTTCATACTGGCCCCCCATGGGAATCGAACCCACAACCCTGGTGTTGCAAACGCCATGCTCTACCAACTGAGCTACATCCCTGCCGGCCATTCCCTCCCCTACCCTGGACGACGCTGGGCCAATTGTGCGCTGCCCCATGGGTGGCACACAACCTTTGACACCTGCACACTAACCATTGCCCCCTCTACCTGTGCAGAAGCGTATCCGACGTTCTCAGCACGCCAGGAAAGAGACAGACTTCCTGCGTCTCAAACGAACCCGCCTGGGGCTGGAGGACTTTGAGTCCCTCAAGGTGATTGGCCGAGGAGCTTTCGGAGAGGTAGGCATCATCCCTTTTATACAAACATCTTTTATGTAGCCTTGCAGACTTTCAGCTTATTATTTAATACATTATTGGCACGTTTTGGTCCTATTTGTCCCCAGGTGCGTCTGGTGCAGAAAAAGGACACAGGCCATGTGTACGCTATGAAGATCCTCCGTAAGGCTGACATGCTGGAGAAGGAACAGGTGAGGAGGGGGGGGGGGGGGGGGGGAGGAAGGGGTATGTGAGGTATACATTGATGGCCAGTCATTTTCTTTTCTCACAAATATCTAAAGCAGTGTCTTGGATACAAACATGATGAGTGCCTGCCATGCAATCAAGAAATTGGTGTATGTGCATTTATTCCTAGGTGGGCCACATCCGTGCCGAGAGAGACATCCTGGTGGAGGCGGACAGCCTATGGGTGGTCAAGATGTTCTACAGCTTCCAGGACAAGATGAACCTCTACCTCATCATGGAGTTCCTGCCTGGCGGTACGACCCCCCCCCCCCCCCCAAACCCTGAACAGTCTCCTACGCTACTGGCTCAAAGTCAAAAAGGCACTATTGTCCAGTGAGCTGCTCCCAGATTAGCCAGTCTTGCATGTGTATTTAGACCTCAGGGCTTGTTTTCATAGTGTTTCAGAGTAGGCGTGCCTACTCGACTCAGCCAAAACTGATCCAAAATCAGCACTCCTAATCAGAGACACTTTGTGAATACGATCCCTGGCCCATTCAGTAAGGTGAAGCAATGTTGCAGAAATACATGTTTTGTATAGAACAAGCACAACCTGCCATCGTGCAAAATAAACAATTCTATGCAACACATTTCTATCTGTAATTCCACCAAAACAAACTTCTTCTGCCTCACTGAATACGCCTCAAAGTTTAGTTGCAATGTGGTGTTTTTTAACATGCCGCTGCCCCCTACAGGTGACATGATGACCCTGCTCATGAAGAAGGATACTCTGACCGAGGAGGCCACTCAGTTCTACATCGCTGAGACGGTGCTAGCCATCGACTCCATCCACCAACTGGGCTTCATCCACAGAGACATCAAACCTGACAACCTGCTACTAGACTCCAGGGTGAGTTTGAGCAAGGACTCGGAGACACACAAATACGAAAACTGGGTCGAATTTGCAAGGCACCAAACTGAAGAAATCGGACTAAACTTGTCCAATAAGAAATGCTTGTTTTCGTTTTGTGTTGCAAAAGGTTTTGCTTCGGTGTGCACTAATGAATGTGATCCTGTACTGAAGGTGCCTTTGTTTGATTGTTTCAGGGCCACGTGAAGCTGTCTGACTTTGGTCTATGCACGGGTCTGAAGAGGGCCCATCGTACCGAGTTTTACAAGAACCTCAACCACAGCCTACCCAGTGACTTCAGTAAGCAAAGTCAGGCATCCCCAATCAATCCATTACTTTACATACTAACACCCTGTATCAATGTTAAAGCCACAATCTGGAGTTTGTGTCTCAGGCCTTATAGTCATTGAGATTGACATGATATTTGGAAGCATATTTTGGAGCTACACCTTGTTTGCAAACATCCAAATGACAATGAAGTAATATTTGGGTTATGATAGAGTAAAACGGATGCACTAAGCTCAAATGGCATTTTATAAATTATATTAATTGGAAATGCAATTGAACAGTAGGAAATGTCCCAGATTGTGCCTTTTTAATGTTTCTCCACTAACCTGGTTCTGATTTCAAATGTGCTTTTTTTTTAAACGAAGAATAACTTAAAGATTTGTTTTTAGGTATGTTTTATTTTATTTCAAGGTGTTTAAAAAAAAAATAATAATAATATATATATATATATATATATATATATATATATATATATTGTTGCATGTACCAGTGTGTACATATTTTTGTTGTTGGATGTTACAATCCTTACTAACAGTCATTGAATATATCCCGACTGTAAATCACTGGATTAGAGCTGCTAAATGACTAATGTAAATCAATAGATCATAAATGGCTATTTGTTTTGTAATAAAGATTCTGAGGCTGATTTCACAATAGTAAAATATTGCTAGAAGGGGTATACATGGGTAAAGATACTTGCAGCGCATTCAGAAAGTATTCAGACCCCTTGACTTTTTCCACATTTTGTTACGTTACAGCCTTATTAATTTTTTTGAAGTCACCATTTACACACAATACCCTATAATGACAAAGCAAAAACGGGTGTTTAGAACTTTGGCAAATGTATAAAAAAAAGCTATCGGAAATATCACAATTTACATTAGTATTCAGACCCATTACTCAGTACTTTTTTGTAGCAACTTTTGGCAGCAATTACAGCCTCGAGTCTTCTTTGGTATGACGCTACAAGCTTGGCACACCTGTATTCGGGGAGTTTCTCACATTCTTCTCTGCAGATCCTCTCAAGCTCTGTCAGGTTGTATGGGGAGTGTTGCTGCACAGCTGTTCGATCGGGTTAAAGTCCGGGCTCTGGCTGGGCCACTCAAGGACATTCAAAGACTTGTCCCAAAGCCACTCCTGCGTTGTCATTGCTGTGTGCTTAGGGTCGTTGTCTTGTTGGAAGGTCAATGTTCGCCCCAGTCTGAGGTCCTAAGCGCTCTGGAGCAGGTTTTCGTCAAGGATCTTTCTGTACTTTGCGCCATTCATCTTTCCCTCGATCCTGACTAGTCTCCCCAGTCCCTGCCGCTGAAAAACATCCTCACAGAATGATGCTGCCACCACCATGCTTCAGCGTAGGGCTGGTGCCAGGTTTCCTCCAAACGTGACGCTTGGCATTCAGGCCAAAGAGTTCAAAGTTGGTTTCATCAGACCAGATAATCTTGTTTCTCATGGTCTGAGTCTTTAGGTGCCTTTTGGCAAACTCCAAACGGGCTTTCATGTGCCTTTTTACTGAGGAGTGGCTTCCGTCTGGCCACTCTACCATAAAGGCCTGATTGGTGGTGCTGCAGAGATGGTTGTCCTTCTGGAAGGTTCTCCCATCTCCACAGAGGAACTCTGGAGCTCTGTCAGTGACCATTGGGTTCTTGGTCACCTCCCTTCTCCCCCGATTGCTCAGTTTGGCTGGTTGGCCAGCTCTTGGTGGTTCCAAACTTCTTCCATTTAAGAACGATGGAGGCCGCTGTGTTCTTGGGGACGTTCAATGCTGCAGAAATGATTTGGTACCCTTCCCCAGATCTGTGCCTCGACACAATCCTGTCTCGGAGCTATACGGACAATTCCATGGCTTGGTTTTTGCTGTGACATGCGCCGTCAACTGTGGAACCTTATATAGACAGGTGGTGTGCCTTTTCCAAATCATGTCCAATCAATTTAATTTACCACAGGTGGACTCCAATCAAGTTGTAGAAACATCTCAAGGATGATCAATGGAAACAGGATGCACCTGAGCTTAATTTCGAGTCTCATAGCAAAGGGTCTGAATACTTATATAAATAAGGCATTTGGTTTTTATTTTTAATAAATTAGCAAAAATGTCTAACCCTGTTTTCTCTTTGTCATTATGGGGTGTTGTGTGTAGATTGAGATTTTTTATTTTTATTTAATCCATTTTAGAATAAGGCTGTAACGTAACAAAATGTGGAAAAAGTGAAGGGGTCTGAATACTTTCGGAATGCACTGTCTTAACCTGCAAGTGAGTTAAACCGGTTTAACCAGTATGTAAGTTGCATCATTTTATAGAACTGTTAATTTTTCTTTACAGCATTCAATAACATGAACTCGAAGAGGAAAGCAGAGACATGGAAGAGGAACAGGAGACAGCTGGTGAGAAGATAAAGCTAGATGGGCAGCATATTTTACACAAGACACACTTGTATTGGGGTGGTCTTGTAGTCACATTGTATGATACTATAACGCCTTGAATAAAGTTATTTATTTTACTCCCTCGCTCTCTCCCTCCAGGCCTTCTCTACTGTGGGCACCCCTGATTACATCGCCCCAGAAGTCTTCATGCAGAATGGATACAACAAGCTCTGTGATTGGTGGAGCCTGGGAGTCATCATGTATGAGATGCTGATAGGTGAGATTTCATTGACAAGCTTTACTTGGAGCCTCCAAAAAGCCATTGATAGTTTTTGGAAATTGGCTTTCAAACATATACACTACATGACCAAAAATATGTGTACACCTTCTCTACGAACATTTCATTCCAAAATCATGGGCATTAATATGGAGTCGTTCCCCCCTTTGCTGCTTTAACAGTCTCCACTCTTCTGGGAAGTCTTTCCACTAGATGTTGGAACATTGCTGCAGGGACTTGCTTCCATTCAGCCACAAGAGCATTAGTGAGGTCGGGCACTGATGTTGGGCGATTAGGCCTGGCTCGCAGTCGGCATTCCAATTAATCCCAAAGGTGTTTGATGGGGTTGAGGTCAGGGCTCTGTGCAGGCCAGTCAAGTTCTTGCTGCGAAGAGACAGAATCATTAGATCATTTGTTTTGGTACTGTCCATTTGTGGCTTGTTTTTGGTCACAGGTCCAGGAATGGCTGAAGGATTGCAATATTTACCTGTAGCGAACCCTGCAGATAGCACTACTGGGTGATCTGAAAAGTCAGTCAATCAATCAATAACATAATACTATTAGCAAAAATGTTTATTTTCAATTTACAATCTGTAGAAACAATGCGAATAGAAGGTTTCAGAACTTTTGGGAAACATCACAGTACAGTTGAAAAATATATGGCAAATAGAAATCCAATATGGATGGTGTTAATAGATAGATGGCAGGTGTTGAATGGAGCTGAAGGATGGGACTAATAACAACTAACAACATCAAGATAACTAATGTAGGGCATGCTGTGTCCATAATAAGGATATAGGTTGAGAGCTTTTGTGAAGGAGCACAGTTGGAGAGATATGGCATATAGACGCAAACCGGATGGACATCATTTAAATGATCGGAGAGGTTGAGGGTGGAGGAAGTTCAGCAGTAAAAACAAACAAAATAGAATTATTGTAAAATTGACTGTGTCCATAAAATGTATATAGTCTGTATAAGCTGGAAGTAGAGGCCTAAGCGTTGTTGTTCACTAGTTTACTCCAATTAGGGAAGGGGTGGTGGGGTTGGGAAGTAATGAAGGGAAATATATATTTTTTTAAAGGATCTGTATGTACAGTTGAAGTCAGAAGTTTACCTACACTTAGGTTGGAGTCATTAAAACTCATTTTTCAACCACTCCACAAATTTCTTGTTAACAAACTACAGTTTTGGCAAGTCGGTTAGGACATCTACTTTGTGCATGACACAAGTAACAATTGTCAAACAATTGTTTACGGACAGATTATTTCACTTATAATTCACTGTATCACAATTCCAGTGTGTCAGAAGTTTACATACACTAAGTTGACTCTGCCTTTTAAACAGCTTGGAAAATTCCAGAAAATGATGTCATGGCTTTAGAACCTTCTGATAGGCTAATTGATATAATTTGTGTCAATTGGAGTTGTACCTGTGGATGTATTTCAAGGCCTACCTTCAAACTCAGTGCCTCTTTGCTTGACATCATGGGAAAATCAAAAGATATCAGCCAAGACTTCAGAAAAAAATGTGTAGACCTCCACAAGTCTGGTTCATCCTTGGGAGCAATTTCCAAACGCCTGAAGGTACCACGTTCATCTTTACAAACAATAGTACGCAAGTATAAACACCATGGGACCACGCAGCCGTCATACCGCTCAGGAAGGAGACGCGTTCTGTCTCCTAGTGATGATAATAATAATACACTGCTCAAAAAAATTAAGGGAACACTTAAACAACACAATGTAACTCCAAGTCAATCACACTTCAAACTCAAAAAATCTAACTGTACCACTTAGGAAGCAACACTGATTGACAATACATTTCACATGCTGTTGTGCAAATGGAATAGACAACAGGTGGAAATTATAGGCAATTAGCAAGACACCCCCAATAAAGAAGTGGTTCTGCAGGTGGTGACCACAGACCACTTCTCAGTTCCTATGCTTCCTGGCTGATGTTTTGGTCACTTTTGAATGCTGGCGGTGCTTTCACTCTAGTGGTAGCATGAGACAGAGTCTACAACCCACACAAGTGGCTCAGGTAGTGCAGCTCATCCAGGATGGCACATCAATGTGAGCTGTGGCAAGAAGGTTTGCTGTGTCTGTCAGCGTAGTGTCCAGTGCATGGAGGCGCTACCAGGAGACAGGCCAGTACATCAGGAGACGTGAAGGAGGCCGTAGGAGGGCAACAACCCAGCAGCAGGACCGCTAGCTCCGCCTTGTGCAAGGAGGAGCACTGCCAGAACCCTGCAAAATGACCTCCAGCAGGCCACAAATGTGCATGTGTCTGCTCAAACGGTCAGAAACAGACTCCATGAGAGTGGTATGAGGGCCCGACGTCCACAGGTGGGGGTTGTGCTTACAGCCCAACACCGTGCAGGACGTTTGGCATTTGCCAGAGAACACCAAGATTGGCAAATTCGCCACTGGCGCCCTGTGCTCTTCACAGATGAAAGCAGGTTCACACTGAGCACGTGACAGACGTGACAGTCTGGAGACACCGTGGAGAACGTTCTGCTGCCTGCAACATCCTCCAGCATGACCGGTTTGGCGGTGGGTCAGTCATGGTGTGGGGTGGCATTTCTTTGGGGGGCCGCACAGCCCTCCATGTGCTCGCCAGAGGTAGCCTGACTGCCATTAGGTACCGAGATAAGATCCTCAGACCCCTTGTGAGACTATATGCTGGTGCGGTTGGCCCTGGGTTCCTCCTAATGCAAGACCTCATGTGGCTGGAGTGTGTCAGCAGTTCCTGCAAGAGGAAGGCATTGATGCTATGGACTGGCCCGCCCGTTCCCCAGACCTGAATCCAATTGAGCACATCTGGGACATCATGTCTCGCTCCATCCACCAACGCCACGTTGCACCACAGACTGTCCAGGAGTTGGCGGATGCTTTAGTCCAGGTCTGGGAGGAGATCCCTCAGGAGACCATCCGCCACCTCATCAGGAGCATGCCCAGGCGTTGTAGGGAGGTCATACAGGCACGTGGAGGCCACACACACTACTGAGCCTCATTTTGACTTGTTTTAAGGACATTCCATCAAAAGTTGGATCAGCCTGTAGTGTGGTTTTCCACTTTAATTTTGAGGGTGACTCCAAATCCAGACCTCCATGGGTTGGTACATTTTATTTCCATTGATAATTTTTATGTGATTTTGTTGTCAGCACATTCAACTATGTAAAGAAAAGTATTTAATAAGATTATTTCATTCATTCAGATCTAGGATGTGTTGTGTAAGTGTTCCCTCTATTATTTTGAGCAGTGTATAATATTCCATTTAGCAGACGCTTTTATCCAAAGTGACTTAGTCATGTGTGCATACATTTTTACGTATTTGTGGTCCCGGTGATCGAACCCACTACCCTGGCGTTAGAAGTGCCATGCTCTACCAATTGAGCTACAGAGGACCACAGATGAACGTATTTTGGTGCGAAAAGTGCAAATCAATCCCAGAACAACAGCAAAGGACCTTGTAAAGATGCTGGAGGAAACGGGTACAAAAGTATCTATATCCACAGTAAAACAAGTCCTATATTGACATAACCTGAAAGGCCGCTCAGCAAGGAAGAAGCCACTGCTCCAAATCAGCCATTAAAAAAGCCAGACTACAGTTTGCAACTGCACATAGGGACAAAGATCATACTTTTTGGAGAAATATCCTCTGGTTGATGAAACAAAAATAGAACTTTGGCCATAATGACCATCGTTATATTTGGAGGAAAATGGGGGAAGCTTGCAAGCCGAAGAACACCATCCCAACCGTGAAGCACCGGGGTAGCAGCATCATGCTGTGGGGGTGCTTTGCTGCAGGAGGGACTAGTGCACTTCACAAAATATATGGCATCATGAGGAAGGAATATTATGTGGATATATTGAAGCAACATCTCAAGACCTCAGTCTTCCAAATGGACAATGACCCCAAGCATACTTCCAAAGTTGTGGCAAAATGGCTTAAGGACAACAAAGTCAAGGTATTGGAGTGGCCATCACAAATCCCTGACCTCAATCCTATAGAAAATGTGTGGGCAGAACTGGAAAAAGCGTGTGCGAGCAAGGAGGCCTACAAACCTGACTCAGTTACACCAGCTCTGTCAGGAGGAATGGGCCAAAATTCACCCAATTTGTTGTTGGAAGCTTGTGGAAGGCTACCCGACACGTTTGACCCAAGTTAAACAATTTAAAGGCAATGCTACCAAATACTAATTGAGTGTATGTAAACTTCTGACCCATGGGAATGTGATGAAAGAAATAAAAGCTTAAATAAATCATTTCACATTCTTAAAATAAAGTGGTGATCCTAACTGACCTACGTCAGGGATTTTTTACTGGGATTAAATGTCAGGAATTGTGAAAAACAGAGTTTAAATGTATTTGGCTAAGGTGTATATAAACCTCCGACTTCAAGTGTGTGTGTGCACACTACCGTTCAAAAGTTTGGGGTCACTTAGAAAGTTCCTTGTTTTCGAAAGAAATGCAATTTTTTTGTCCATTAAAATAACATCAAATTGATCAGAAATACAGTGTAGACATTGTTAATGTTGTAAATGGCTATTGTAGCTGGTAACGGCTGATTATTATTTATTTTTTAATGGAATATCTACATAGGCGTACAGAGGCCCATTATCAGCAAACATCATTCCTGTGTTCCAATGGCACGTTGTGTTGGCTAATTGATCATTAGAAAACCCTTTTGCAATTATGTTAGCACAGCTGAAAACTGTTGTGCTGATTTTAAAGAAGCAATAAAACTGGCCTTCTTGAGACTAGTTGAGTATCTGGAGCATCAGCAATTGTGGGTTCGATTACATGATCAAAATGGCCAGAAACAAATAACTTTCATCAGTCTAGTTTGAGAAACAGACGCCTCACAGGTCCTCAACTGGCAGCTTCATTAAATAGTACCCACAAAACAGCAGTCTCAACGTCAACAGTGAAGGGGCGACTCCGGGATGCTGACCTAGGCAGAGTTGCAAAGAAAAAGCCATATCTCAGACTGTCCAATAAAAATAAAATATTAAGATGGGCAAAAGAACAGGCAATGGACTTTTTCTTTGCAACTCTCCCTAGGTCGGCATCCCGGAGTCGCCTCTTCACTGTTGACGTTGAGACTGATGTTTTGCGGGTACTATTTAATGAAGCTGCCAGTTGAGGACCTGTGAGGCGTCTGTTTCTCAAACTAGACACTAATATATTTGTCCTCTTGCTCAGTTGTGCACCGGGGCCTCCCACTCCTCTTTCTATTCTGGTTAGAGCCAGTTTGCGCTGTTCTGTGAAGGGAGTAGTACGCAGCATTGTACGAGATCTTCAGTTTCTTGGCAATTTCTCATGGAATAGCCTTCATTTCTCAGAACAAGAATAGACTGACGAGTTTCAGAAGAAAGTTATTTGTTTCTGGCCATTTTGAGCCTGTAATCGAACCCACAATTGCTGATGCTCCAGATACTCAACTAGTCTCAAGAAGGCCAGTTTTATTCGTTCTTTAATCAGCACAACAGTTTTCAGCTGTGCTAGCATAATTGCAAAAGGGTTTTCTAATGATCAATTAGTCTTTTAAAATGATAAACCTGGATTAGCAAACACAACGTGCCATTGGAACACAGGACTGATGGTTGCTGATAATGGATATCTGAATGAGGAGGACCCAGACTTCTTCCTTCAATTTAACAAAATAATACTGGATTTCAGTGATTTTCCTCTGGTACTAGTGGGGGATTATAATCAGGTCCCTGATGCTTTTTTTAGATAAATCCAAAACTGGTCTAACCTCAAACTCAAGAAGCAATTAAAATACTGTGTAAAGATGCTGGTCTTTATGATATATGGAGATCGATCAATCCAACTGCTTGTGATTAGATTTATTTTCGAATAGGCCCACTGTTTATTCACGCATCGACTACTTCCTGATCTCACACTCTCATAGATGATAGCTTTTAAAGATTACATACGCGGAGTAATGATACAATGATCAGCTACTATTAAGAAATTCAAAACAGAAAATTGATACATTTGAAACAGAGCTCAAAATGCTGGAGAGGGAATATTGGTCCAATCCTAACAAAATGTATCTGGTAAATCTGACAAACCAAATACGAGCTGAAATACTTTATTCAGTAAAAAAGCTGAATATTCCCTGTACAGGCTGAAGCAGAGATGGTACGAATCAGGTGAAAAGGCAGGAAATTGAAATCTAGAGAAACAGATCGGCAAGTAGGTGTAATCAGAAATAAGACAGGCAAGATGATTACCAATCATAAAGAAATAAACAATATATTTCGAGACTTCTATCAGGAACTTTATACTTCAGACGGTCCTTTTAGATATGCAGAAAGCAGCAGCATATTTTCATAATTTGAACCTTCCTAAACTATCAGAGGAAGACAGGAATTGGCTCGACTGCCCTATTACTTTGGAGGAATTGACCGAAACAATAAGACAAGCACCCAGTGGTAAAACTCCAGGGTTGGATGGGATACCCAGTGATTTCTATAAAAGGTTTGCAGAGCAGCTTAGCCCAGAAATATTGAAAACATTTAACACATCGATTGACACAGGTGAGCACCCACCTATGAGTGATGCAGTAATCACCCTAATCCTCAAAAAGGGAAAGGATCCCTATGAGTGTGGGAGCTACCGTCCAATTTCTTTGATAAATTATTTACAAAACTTCTGGCTATGAGGGTGAATCATATCATTAAGAAAATCATAAATCCAGACCAGGTGGGATTTGTGAAAGGCAGAACTTCATCTGATAATCTTAGACACCTATTGCATGTCATCTGGAAGGCAAAAGATTTGGATACTTCCGTGGCAGCCTTATCACTAGACGCAGAGAAAACCTTTTGATAGGGTGGGTTGGGACTACCTGCATTATACTATAAATACATTTGGATTTGGACAGAGCTTTCAGAATATTATTAAACCTATGTACAACGACCCCAAATCCATAGTAGTCACTAACGGACTACGATCATCTCCATTTTCTGTAGGACGAGGCACGAGACAAGGTGACTGTCTCTCTCCTCTCCTATTTATTATAGCATTAGAACCATTAGCCGAAGCCGTTAGGCTGCATCAGTCAATCAAAGGGGTTAATATGGGAGGTAGGGAGAATAAACTACTGCTTTATGCAGACGACATATTACTATTAATGTCAGACCCCCAACTCTCCATATCTCCTTTACTGGACCTAGTAAATGCATTTTCAGAGAGATCGGGCTATAAAGTAAACTGGACCAAATCTGAAGTAATGCCCCTATCAAAACATTGTCTGAGAAATGACTTCCTCAGCTGGAGGTTTCAATGGGTCCCTAAAAACTTGAGGTACCTGGTGATCGCTTTAAATCCTGGTCTAGAGAACATGATTTCTGAAAACCTTGAACCACTATTGAACAAAATTCAACTCCAGTTTAAGAGCTGGGATAAGCTACAACTCTCATTATGGGGTAGGTTACAGGTTATAAAGATGGTCATACCTCCTAAACTGAATTACATCAAACATGTTACCACTATCCATACCTATACTTTTAAATCCATAGACAATATTATTACTGAGTTTATTTGGGCCGGTAAAAGGGCAAGGATTAACCTAGCTAGGTTACAGGCCTTTGTATATGCACAAATAGGCACTCTTTATTGAGAACTCGACTAGGCCAATTTGGGTGGACATGGAAGAGGAACTTAATGCCCCATTCGGAGCATCAGATTATTTGAGTCAACAAAAAGTGGGATTGCAGAATCCAATAATGTACCATACTAAAAATATATGGAGTCAGATTCATAAGAGAGGGCGATCTTCACCTTTCTTGACTAGCTCTGCTTCGTTATGGAACAACCCTAAATTGAAAATAGGGGGACACATGGTTTTCTGGAAAGATTGGTATAGAAAGGGGATAAAGAACATTGGTAGTCTATATCCAGTTTAGAGATTTGTATGTTTAAGGTAGGACAGAATAACAACAAATTCCCAGTACATTCCGATATAAGTGTTAAGCTAGAAATCCTCAGCAAATTACCACATACACAAGGGCTTATATACACTGCTCAAAAAAATAAAGGGAACACTAAAATAACACATCCTAGATCTGAATGAATGAAATAATCTTTATTAAATACTTTTTTCTTTACATAGTTGAATGTGCTGACAACAAAATCACACAAAAATTATCAATGGAAATCAAATGTATCAACCCATGGAGGTCTGGATTTGGAGTCACCCTCAAAATTAAAGTGGAAAACCACACTACAGGCTGATCCAACTTTGATGTAATGTCCTTAAAACAAGTCAAAATGAGGCTCAGTAGTGTGTGTGGCCTCCACGTGCCTGTATGACCTCCCTACAACTCCTGGACAGTCTGTGGTGCAACGTGGCGTTGGTGGATGGAGCGAGACAGATGTCCCAGATGTGCTCAATTGGATTCAGGTCTGGGGAACGGGCGGGCCAGTCCATAGCATCAATGCCTTCCTCTTGCAGGAACTGCTGACACACTCCAGCCACATGAGGTCTTGCATTAGGAGGAACCCAGGGCCAACCGCACCAGCATATGGTCTCACAAGGGGTCTGAGGATCTCATCTCGGTACCTAATGGCAGTCAGGCTACCTCTGGCGAGCACATGGAGGGCTGTGCGGCCCCCCAAAGAAAGGTCATTGTCCATTTGAAAGACCCATTTGCGACCAAGCTTTAACTTCCTGACTGATGTCTTGAGATGTTGCTTCAATATATCCACATAATTTTCCTTCCTCATGATGCCATCTATTTTGTGAAGTGCACTAGTCCCTCCTGCAGCAAAGCACCCCCACAGCATGATGCTGCCACCCCCGTGCTTCACGGTTGGGATGGTGTTCTTCGGCTTGCAAGCTCACCCCTCCTTCAAACATAACGATGGTCATTATGGCCAAACAGTTATATTTTTGTTTCATCAGACCAGAGGACATTTCTCCAAAAAGTACAATCTTTGTCCCCATGTGCAGTTGCAAACCGTAGGCTGGCTTTTCTATGGCGGTTTTGGAGCAGTGGCTTCTTCCTTGCTGAGTGGCCTTTCAGGTTATGTCGGTATAGGACTTGTTTTACTGTGGATATAGATACTTTTGTACCGGTTTACTCCAGCATCTTCACAAGGTCCTTTGCTGTTGTTCTGGGATTGATTTGCACTTTTCGCACCAAAGTACGTTCATCTCTAGGAGACAGAACTCGTCTCCATCCTGAGCGGTATGACGGCTGCGTGGTCCCATGGTGTTTATACTTGCGTACTATTGTTTGTACAGATGAACGTGGTACCTTCAGGCATTTGGAAAATTGTTCCCAAGGATGAACCAGGCTTGTGGAGGTCTACAATTTTTTTCCTGAGGTCTTGGCTGATTTCTTTTGATTTTCCCAGGATGTCAAGCAAAGAAGCACTGAGTTTGAAGGTAGGCCTTGAAATACATCCACAGGTACACCTTCAATTGACTCAAATGATGTCAATTAGCTTATCAGAAGCTTCTAAAGCCATGACATCATTTTCTGGAATTTTCCAAGCTGTTTAAAGGCACAGTCAACTTAGTGTATGTGAACTTCTGACCCACTGGATTTGTGATACATTGAATTCTAAGTGAAGTAATCTGTCTGTAAACAATTGTTGGAAAAATGACTTGTGTCATGCACAAAGTAGATGTCCTAACCAACTTGCCAACACTATAGTTTGTTAACAAGAAATTTGTGGAGTGGTTGAAAAAACGAGTTTGAATGACTAAGTGACCTAAGTGTATGTAGTCTTCCGACTTCGTATGTATGTATGTATGTATGTATGTATTGCATCTTATGAATGTCACAAAATGGTGCCATTCCTATGCATTTGGCCGTGCCTGTCTTATGTGTTGATCCCTTGTGTGTATTGTGTTCCAGGCTATCCCCCGTTCTGCTCCGAGACCCCCCAGGAGACCTACAGGAAGGTGATGAACTGGCGGGAAACGCTCACCTTTCCCCCGGAAGTGCCCATCTCGGAGAAGGCCAAGGATCTCATCCTCAGGTTTTGCTGTGAAGAGGAGCACAGGATTGGAGCCACAGGGGTGGAGGACATCAAGGGCAACGCCTTCTTCGAAGGGGTGGACTACGACCACATCAGGTAGGAGGGCTTAGAGGAGGAGGAGGAGGAGGAGTAGTAGTAGTAGGAGGAGGAGTATTTTCCACCCTTGAGCTGGATGGCAGCTCTCTACTTCGTCCCTTGATACCACTGAGTGAGGAAAAAGGGACATTTGAAGAATTACGTTTTCCAAATACATTTTCCCAAATGTTATGTGTTAGTCAAGCACACTTATTTTTGTATTTAGCTCCTTAGCTAAGTCGTCATTACGACAAAGGTAGTTAGCTACAGCGTTTAGTAAACTAAGCAAGAACATTTTCTTGCCCGCCGTGTTTTGATCTCCGCGGCGGTAGTAGGCGCGAGTGCATTGACAAGCAAGAAAATGTGTGGTGTTGTGGTAGTTCAGTGCGCGTCTCTGTGTGAATGGAAACCAACATGGCAGAACGCTTTTCCGCTAATACCGTCCTTCAGAGAATGTTATGTTAGACTATTAAAAATGTGTAGGTCTATGTTAACTAATCAGTTCTTGATCTTTCCTCTTGAAATTGCTGTATGTCAACAGTAGGCTGCTAATGATGTAATAATAGTCAGTTCACCAATCACAACAAGGCATGTTGAATGAATGGTAGCATAGTAGTCAGACCTAACTTGATGGATTATATCAGGGATGGAGATTTGAAATAAGCTTATATAGGCCTAGTTCAGTTGTTTCGTATTCCAAATAGCCTACTGTAAGCTAAACTACTACATTGCATCCAGTAATTGAATTATTCAAAAATGTCTCCCCAAACAAAATAAGAACCCAGTTTACATTTTTCCAAATCCACCGATTTTTAATTAGAATAATCATTACCCCTCATTTTAACCTAGAAAAATTTGAAGATTTCATTAAGACCACCTCAATTTAATTTAGGATCAAACCCAAGACTTCTGTGTTGGCTATGTTGTTTAATATAATTTAAGACTAGGTTTCAGGAAATGGCAGTTACAGGTTTTTCAAATGCTAAATGCTCCAACTTTAAGTTGACTGCCCCCCCCCCCCCCCCCAAAAAAAAGCACTGATTTGTACATTTTAAACGTATTTCTAGTTAGCTACTGAAGAGCAGCCAAGTACCCATACGTCTATGTAGCCTATTATTCCTACTGAGGCAGTCCTCTGCCAACATAATTATTAGGCAAAAAATAAATGTGCATTTTCCTATGATTTGAGCAGTGTAGGTGTTGCGTGTGCCGTGAAGTGGTACTCGTAAAAATTATTCAAGGTTGGCAGGTCTGTATATCCAAACCATTTGAAAGTTTGTTTGTTTGTTTATTTAGCAACATCCAGAATCTCCTGGCTAGCATTTTCTGACATTGTAGCGGTGCATTTAAAAACTGATGGGAACAGTCCTGTTCTAAAACTAGGGTCCCGTTTCTTCTACAGAGAGAGGCCCGCTGCCATTCCCATCGAGATCAAAAGCATCGATGACACGTCCAACTTTGACGAGTTCCCAGACTCAGATATCCTCCAGCCAACGGGTACGTTGCTTATTGTCACAACACCAGTGGCTGTCAGTGGTCATAGTTCAACAGTCATGTTCATTAGGTCCCTCCCCGTTTGGTTCCGTCTGCTCTGTTTGGTTCCTAGAGTACACGGTAAACAGTTTCCGTTGCAAAATGTTTTGCAATGGTCTGCGACTAATGAATACATGCCTGGTAGTCCCTCCCAGGTTGTCCGTTTTCTTTCATTTGGTACCTAATGAACACGGCCCAGGTCAACCACCTTGAAACAAGACTATGTCAAAAATGTTATCCTTTGTTTTCCTCCATTGCCCTGTGTGAAATAATCCCGTGACTTTTCCTCCTCAGCTGCCCCTGTTGTGTCCAATCATTCTGAGGTGGACCTGAAGAACAAGGACTGGGTCTTCATCAACTATACCTACAAGCGCTTCGAGGGCCTCACAGCCCGAGGGGCCATCCCCTCCTACATGAAGACAGGGAAGAGATGAATAATGTCTTTGTTCACTCACTCACTTTACCAGCCCCTCAGTCTGGTATTCAAAAGAATACACCATGGATCCCAACGACCACTCCTCTAGCTCCAAACTCCAAAATGGAGGTAGCGGTCACAGCAGCGGACCACACTCGACCGGTATTCCCGCATCCTTCACTTCCCCCTCCATAAACAAGCTTTGAAGTCTTAGCTGAGCAGCTAACAGCAAGGGACTGGGATCCAATATGCCTCGCTTTTCTGTCAAAGGGCTAGCTTTTCTCTCTTCAGTCCTTTTCTTTCTTTCTTTTTTCAATGAGAGTTGACTGAGTTGCTCCACACTCAATAGAATTTTCCATATTTTTAGAAGTTAGTTCCTCCTATTAAAACCATTAGAAATGGAGTGTCATTTGACGTGAACTAATGATCCTTTTCAGGGATTACGTCAATGTTTTCAATGTGTTATTAGAGAGCTCTCTGCTGCAGCATCTTGGGTGCTAGTGTTTCCGACAGGTTGTCTGTTGCAACAAGGCAACTCTTAACCAAAGACGATGAGAGCTGAGGGTATTATTTTAGGGTTTCAATGTAATTGCTTTGTCCCCATGTAATTGTCACTTAAATACCATCAATGGTAGAGCTGTTTTTATACATGGATTTATGCAAGTCTTTATAGCAATAGAATCACCTCTCTGGAATATGATTATATTTTAAATGGAACTACACCTCCCAGAAGCCCACTTGTTTAGATTCATTCTTGATTTGACAATCATCCACTTTTTAAGGGTAGCATTCATGCTGTCCTGAGTTTTTTCTTTCCTTTGATTCATTTGATTCGCCAATACTCTGTGAGTTATTTATAACTTTTGTGGATATGCATGTCATTTAGCTAGAGCGCCAAATCAAATGCAAACATTTGGTGCACGTACCAACCCTTTTTTTGGTTTACTTTTCGATGGACCTTTTGTGGTAGGGGAGCTAGAAGTAAGGCCAAGACATCGATACTCTTCTATTTCCTCTTCTGTTTGTTCTCTCTTTCCTCATCGTCTTTTCCTTCCTGACCACTGGCCTGTAAGGGCTTGGTAGGTCAGGTGGCAGGCAGTGCATGTTGGTTCAGTGGAGATGGAAGGAATAGAAAAGGAGCACCATTTAGAGTATTGAGACACTCAGGGTCTGTGTACTCTGTGACCCCAGGTTCAGGTAATTCACGTCACCTTTCACTTACTGTCTATAGTTTCCTCTCTTGTTGTCGCTTGGCTTTTTCTTAGCAACCGTGCTTTGAGTAACCTTTCAAACATTGCATTTGTCTGATGTTTTGTCAAGGAAATGTCACCTGGAATGTCCTTACTTTTGTGTGAGGGAGAAACTTTGTACCCAGGGCTATATGTGACTGTCCTTCAAAACAAAATCCCAAATGCTGTGTCATTTGAATCGAATGTAATCACGAGGTGTAGTGGCAGATGAATTTCATGCCATGTTAATTCCAAAATGCTGAATAGAATGTAGCCTAAGCCACCAAGGTGGTAGGTTTCTGTCACATGGGGAAGATGTCATCTGGTCTTTTCTTCAATCTCTGTACGGTGTTCTGGGTAGTTTAGAGTACTTGCTGAGATTGAATAGCCAGATTATTATTTTTTATTTTATTTATTTTTTTACAACTGAGCAACAACTAATTTTGAGACTGTTCTCTAACGTTTTACTGACGCTTGATGTCTAAAATTATCCTGTTGTAATGCCAGGTTTAAAAGGTATTGGGGCAGATGAGGTGGCAAAGTGCATATGACTTTAAATAATTGTATTGTTAATTTATGCTGCTTTGTGTGTGTGTGAGAGATTTGGTGTCTTCAGAGGAATGGGTGATATGCTCAGTAAAAATAAGATGTTTGATTAACCTACACTGAAAGGGGTTATGTTATTTTGTAGATGTCGCCCAACTGTGTGTATGCTGTGCCTTCCCCCAGGCACACAGGTTGTGTGTAAAACATGCTGTACAAACTTTTTTTTAAATATATATATATATATATATATATATATATATATATATATATGGGGTTGTATTTAATGTGTGTCTATTGTATATTTTCTGCCATTTGACAATTGAATAACTAACTCTGCACTTAATGTCTGGGTCCAATTTGTACAGCCAAAGAATGGGCACCTCTGAAATCTGCTGTCTTTAGAGACACTTTAGAATTTTGTAGTGAGTATTTCTATAGTCTTTGTTTTGATGGACCAGTGAACTTAGTCATTTAATAATATGCCATTTAGCAGACGCTTTTATCCAAAGTGACTTACAGTCATGTGTGCATACATTTTTACCTATGGGTTGTCCCAGGTATCGAACCCACTACCCTGGCGTTACAAGCGCCATGCTCTACCAATTGAGCTACAGAGGACCACATTTCACTGGTTGCACAAGCAAGCTAGCCATGTGCAGGACTTTTACATTTTCTTCTGGAAATTGTTTTGACTACAAACTAACTACAATTTAAATAAGGCACTTTTCTGTAGTTCAATGAGGTGGAATAATGGAAACGCAATGAACTAACAGCTTGAGGCAAAGGGCTTAAATATGAATTATTCCTCAAATGTGGCTTCCAATTGTTGCTACTCGACCGATTTCTGACTGTCAAGATCAACCTGTTTTTCCCCCCATCCAAACGTATCCATTTGAGCTTTTGCCCAAGGCTAACCTCCAACAAACGGGGCTAGCGGGAAGTTAGCAGGATCAACCAGTTTCTCAAGCCCCATCATGGAAAGTCACCCAGTCATTGCTCTGTCATCGCTCAATAGTGTGAAGAATTTCTTACAGGGCTGAGTTGTCATGCATGCCACAGTTTAAACGGCAGAAACTAGTCTTGTAACAGACGTCACCTTCCAGCTGTGGAAACTGTTGTCCTCAATTCCACCAGGGTTTTCAGAGAATTCCTTAACAATGTTCCACAAAGGCACTAGGCAGTATCCCTAAGCTAGTAATAGCCTACTTGTACCATAGAGGCAGAGAAACCGACAATGCTACATGGTCGAGATGTGCAGGGTTTTCTGTTCATTTGATTCACACACCATGCATCCTTTGAATATGGTAGGCACTTTCTGCCTTAACAGTGGGTTAAAAGGCGCTGTATGGTCAATCTGACGTCTGCATTGGCCATGCAGCATTTACGGTGATATGGCCTCTGCAGAAGTAAGGGCATTCGTACCTCCCAGAGCTGTTGTGAAGGAACTTGTCAAGGAAGTGAGTTTGTGTTAATACAGAACCTCCCGGCCTCGCCTACCGTCAACCAATCATGTCAATGTGGAGCTATTCGGAGCCTTCCGCATTGTTACAAAATTTGAGAGGCGCAAGGCGATGCAGTACAGAGCTCAATTTGGCCTCTGCATGCCTCCAGAGGCAACGCAATTGCGTCACACCATCCATACGACTCCGACCACGTTTTCGGATCAAGCGTAAATTGGCTTTTAGTTGTATTGTTTCTCCCTTCAAAGATCACATTTATTTAGCCAGTCAATGGCAGTCCGTTTGTTTCACTGATGGTAGCAATAATCACCTGCACTATGGTGGTAGATTTGAACAGCATTAAATAAAACCCCTATGTTGATCCAGTGTTTTTTTTTTTCATTATTTGTCTGTGTAGAGTAGGGGTACAGTTGGCTTGGGTTTAGATTATGGAAGAAATATGATCTGTTTTAGGGATTCCCTTAAAAAAAGTTGCAATTTTGTAACTGCAGTCGACTGGTATTTTGGACGCAGTAATTGCAGAATAACTTCAGTGTACTGCAGTTATACTACACTAACTGCAGTTACACTGCAAAATGACAGCAGTAATTTTATTTTGGATGCAGTATTTGCAGCATACTGCAGTTACTGTATACTGCACTCTAACTGCAGTCGGCTTGCAATCTTTTTGTGTAAGGTTAAGAAAAATCACACCGGGATTTGAACCAGTAATCTTGTTTATGGCCTTTTCTCAATTGGGTAAAGCTGTCCTCTTCTCGAATCCGCCAACTTCTCCATGACCCCGAAACTGATAAGTGGTTGCCACGTGTCAATTCGTTAATAGGTGAGTGAAAGAGATTCCTCCTTTCTTCGCTGAGGATGCTCCGGTGTATCCTACAGTTTTGAAATGTACATTTTAGTCATTTAGCAGACGCTCTTATCCAGAGCGACTTACAGGAGCAATTAGGGTTAAGTGCCTTGCTCAAGGGCACATCGACAGATTTTTCACCTAGTCGGCTCGGGGATTAGAACCAGCGACCTTTCGGTTACTGGCACAATGCTCTTAACCACTAAGCTACCTGCCGAAATCAGCCACACCCCCTCTGAAGCAGCTTGTTTTCTCAGAGAAAAGTATGTACATTTAAAAAAAGGTTATGCCACATTTCTATCTATAAAATGTCTAACAAAATTTATTTTTACCATGTATTTTGGGATTCCACCCCGTAAACGTAATTTGTCTGATGTGCTATGGAGAAGGAGAGTTGTTTCTTACAAGCGCATTTGTTTCCACATTTCCTCTCCTTACTTCCTAGCTTCCTTCCCTCGTAAGGTTTCAAAAGGGAGGGGGTGAGGAAAGAATGCAAGGAGTCGATTTAAATCCAATTAAGAAAAGGCCTGTGTTATGCCCTCATGGCAGAGCTGCCCTTAGTGTTGCATTTTAATATTAAATCTTCTAAGGTCAGTTTCTATTTCATATCACAGGAATCATTGTGACTTTTTTTGTCATTGAAAACCTGTCAGGATAAACAAACATGATAAAAAAAATCACACAAAGTGTTGGATTCAAGCCTTATCGGCGAAGTTCCGTGTTGTAGACCGATTGACATTTAAAGGTAATGTTCCTGCATTAGCGGAGACTGCATTCACAGTAAGCACTGCATATGTCCGCTCAATCGGAAATTACCTTTACATTTCAAGTGCACTATATCGCTGAACTTCAGCAATATGGATTGACTCCAGCCATATGGCTATAAATAGACCCTTTTTTAAAAAAGGGCATCGGCAAGATTAGAACCTGTAACCTTTTAGTCCCTATCCCCTTTTTAGTCCACGGCGTCAGTTCGGGGGGAGGGCAACACCCTTGTAATTTCACATGCACTACATGACCAAAAGTATGTGGACATCTCATTCCAAAATCATGGCCTTTAATATGGAGTTGGCCCCCCCTTTGCTGCTATAACAGCCTCCACTCTTCTGGGAAGGCTTTCCACTAGATGTTGGAACATTGCTTTGGGGGCCTTGCTTCCATTCAGTCACAAGCATTAGTGAGGTTGGGCACTGATGTTGGGCGATTAGGACTGGCTCGCAGTCGGTGTTCCAATTCATCCCAAAGGTGTTTGATGGGGTTGAGGTCAGGACTCTGTGCAGGCCAGTCAAGTTATTCCACACCGATCTCGACAAACCATTTCTGTATGGACCTCGCTTTGTGCACGGGGACATTGTCATGCTGAAACAGGAAAGGGCCTTCCACAAACTGTTGCAACAAAGTTGGAAGCACAGAATCGTCTAGAATGTAATTGTATACTGTAGGGTTAATATTTCACTTCACTGGAACTAAGGGGCCTAGCCCGAACAATAAAAAACAGCCCCAGACCATTATTCCTCCTCCACCAAACTTTACAGTTGGCACTATGCATTTTGGCAGGTAGCATTCTCCTGGCATCCGCCAAACCCAGATTCATCCGTCGGACTGCCAGATGGTGAAGAGTGATTGATCACTCCAGAGAATGCGTTTCCACTGCTCCAGAGTCCAATGGCGGGGAGCTTAACACCTCTCCAGCCAACGGTTGGCATTACGCATGGTGATCTTAGGCTTGTGTGCGGCTTCTCGGCCATGGAAATCCATTTCATGAAACTCCCGACTAACAGTTCTTGTGCTGACGTTGCTTCCAGAGGCAGTTTGGAACTCGGTAGTGAATGTTGCACCTGAGGACAGAAGATTTTTACGCGCTTCAGCACTCGGCGGTCCTGTTCTGTGAGTTTTGTGGCCTACCACTTCGCGGCTGAGCTGTTGTTGCTCCTAGACGTTTCCATTTCATATTAACAGCTCTTACAGTTGACCGGCTCTAGCAGTGTAGAAATTTGACGAACTGACTTGTTGGAAAGGTGGCATCCTATGACGGTGCCACGTTGAAAGTAACTGAGCTCTTCAGTAAGGCCATTCTATTGCCAATGTGTCTATGGAGATTGCATGGCTGTGTGCTCGATTTTATACACCTGTCAGCAACGGGTGTGGCTGAAATATCCAAATCCACTAATTTGAAGAGGTGTGCACATACCTTTGTATGTATAGTGTATATAAAGCTGTTCAGTCAGTCCGTCATTTAGAATGTCAGAAGATTATAATGTTGGGTAAGGTTGGAAAATAAAAGCTGCATTGGGATTCGAACTGGCAACCTCACAACCCTCTTCTTAACACCCTACATCAACCTCCAACCTACCTCCCTGGGAGCCTTTTCTTTATTTGACTCTCACCTGGAAACTCCTCCCACTAACCTGTCACTAAGCTCTGCCCACTGAGCTTTCATATAACCAATCAATTCATCCCCGACTACCTCCAGAGGTGGTCAAGAAGATCTGATCACATTCAGTTCTACACCTGTTTAAAAATGTGGACAAGATCAGGACACATGTTAGCACCAGGTATAAAAGGGGCTAAAGAAAGAACCGCAGCATAGCTACTTCCCATGTCACATCACATTTGTCATGAAAAATATGTATAATGCTCTTTAATTACTCAAGGCACACATTCATCTAGCCTATGACTGACTATAGGATCTACAGGCTCAGGGAGATGTCTCTGTGACAGACAGTGTAACAAGTGTAACATGGCAGACGCATCAACATGTTGAACGTGGCACTCATTCATAACATCATCATGTTGCCATGGGAACATGTCATTTGGAATGGAATGTCAAACAAATTGGCTTCATTCATAGGCCTACATCTCATTTGCATGCCTACAACAGTGACAAAAACAGTAGGTATTTTAAATGCATACCATCACAGACGACACAACATAACGTCATAAAATGTGCATATATTGCACATGTATGTGTATAAAAGCTCTCTCTCTGAAATAGTCATATGACATTCAAAGCTATCCACCAAAATGACGATTTCGCATTCCAAACAATAAAAGTGCCCAGTTAGAACAGTAACATAGCCCTCTTTACGGGAGGACAGTCTTGCAGTTATCTGAGGTGCAATATATCCAACATGCCCAACAATACCTTAACTTTTAATGTGCACCCTGTTGAAGACAAGCACTGTGCTCTTGCCATTATGGCAAGGAAATAACGACTTCCTCTGGTTTGAAGGAAATAGTCCATCAAGAGCCTCGGGATGAGATGGGTAGCAGCAGAAATGCGGTGGGGGTGTGGTCTGAGAGTCTCAGCTTTCATTGGCTGCAGTCTGGGAGAGTTGGGGGAGTTGAGAGGGGTCTGGCCCATTGAGCCTGTCCAGCTCATCCACCTGCGGGGTGGGCATGGTGCCTCCCCAGGCCGCCCCACCTCCGCCCCCCTCCCCTGGCACCGCCAGGTTGGGCACGCTCTTGCTGCGGACGCACTGGAAGTCCACGTGGCGGCTCTTCCCTTCCTCCTTCTCCCAGGACAGCTGAATGAAGGGCCGCTGCACGTAATTGTAGATGACCTCTGACCTTCCTCCCGGGCGCCGCTTCACTTTCTCCTTATAGGTTGGGTACCCTGGGACACAGAAACAGATCAGTGGAAATCCATTTGTAATGTATATCAATACACATTTTACAGGGGGTAACTTGGGTAGAACAGACTTTCAAGTTTGTAAGACCAACACATATTAACATAAAACTACAATTACTGTGGAGCGTGGTCATGGATGCTATTCAAGAAAATCTTTTCAGGACAGCACAGAGAATCCTCCACCTTGAATAAAGCATAAATTAATCCCCTGGCCTGGGGAAGTTGAGTGGAGACAAGACCAACTCACCCTCAATGCCTATCCGGATGTTCTTCAAACCTCTCTCCTTCAGCAGGGTTTTGGCAACATCTCTGTTCTCGATGTACTTGAAGAAGCGGTAGAGTTTGGAGCTGTACAAAACTGGACAGAGGCGAGAGAAACATATTCATTCACTCAACATTGAAATTGTTCCGGCGCACAGTTAGCCAAGATGGTTAGCTAGCTAGCTAAAGTTATTAACAGTTAATAAGCAACCACTCCTACATATACTCTTGATAGAAACCGTAATGCTGCTGCGTCAAAAACATGCTTCCAAAAATGATGAGGTGTCTCCAGTTGCGTAACCTTTACATGTGACCAATTTTGAATTGACATTGGTATTGGAAGTTGGTAATTTTTCAGAGTACTTTAGGATTGGTGATGTGTGTGTGTTTTGACTGGTGGCCTTACTTTGGGAATACTCCTCTCCCATGGGTGGAGGGTGTTCCTCATCCCAGTCCACAATGTCATCGTCGGCCAGAACCACGATGTGGCACTCCCTCTCCCCTCCCTGGGCACATGACACCATGGCGGGCACCACCAGCTCCTCCAGGAAGCCCTCAAACTTCCTCCTTGCCCCATCGTTGGACAGCTCGTGAAGCAGGGCACCTGGGAACATAATGAGACAGTGAAGTTGGTCAAGTGACTATCATGATAATCAAGTGAAGGATATGTCTATGTTGAGACTGCAAGGAGGTTTGAATGCTATGAGGTCATTTTAAAAATATGCTCCCATTTTGCAATCATTCTCAAACAAAATATTCACTCCAAAAACATTTAGTACCTCAACTTGTTATTGTTAAGATTCATAGATGAGGGTATCCTTGTGATGTGTTGTGTTGTCATAAGAGTTGCTAATACCGGTAAAGATATATTTGTAATGGCTGCTGTTCTGCATATTCCATATATTGTGCCCGCCCCTACCCCTACCTTGGTCAATCCCCTAAACTGGTCAGTTTACACATGGAGTGACAGGTTAGAGTTAAGGGTGGTAATAATGGGTGGTAATACTCACTGAGGTCGCGACACTTGACCGTGCTGGCATTGAAGTTGATACAGAGGTAATCACAAGCCTCTCTCAGCTCCGACACTGATACGCCATCGGGACACCTCATAACACCCGTCTGATAAAAGTTCTGGCAGAGAAATACACATTGGAATGAATGAACAGATCGTTTTTGGTACCTCTACAGCTGTGGCAATACCAGTCATTTCACTGAGATGATAGACTGGCTTTAACAATGCCAGCCCCATCACAAGTACTGGAGGAGAGCTTTTATTTGCAACATTATAAGATTTTCAGAAGTTGTTGGGTCGAGGCTATAAAGTATACACTGAGTATATATATAAACAATAAGAACACTTGTTCTTTCCATGACATAGACTGACCAGGTTGAATCCAGGTGAAAGCTATGATCCCTTATTGATGTCACTTCAATCAGTGTAGATGAAGGGGAGGAGACAGGTTAAAAATAAGGATTTTTAAGCCTTGAGAAAATTGAGACATGGATTGTGTATGTGTGCCATTCAGTGGGTGAATGGGCAAGACAAAATATTTAAGTGCCTTTGAACGGGGTATGGTAGTAGGTGCCAGGCGCACAGGTTTGTGTCAAGTACTGCAATGCTGCTGGGTTTTTCACACTCAACAGTTTCCTGCAAAAGGTGGGGTGCAACTCAATATTAGGACGGTGTTCCTAATGTTTGGTATACTCAGTGTATATTTTCTGCACTGTGTGAGTGTCTGGTTATAAGCAGTGCTGGTTACTGGTGTGCCAACTCACCAGTATGACCTGAAAGATGCTGGCACTGATGCCCTCTGTCAGTTCATACTCGCCCTTCCCATTGGGCCTGGTGAAATTGTGCTGTCGCGCTGGGCCAAACATTCTGCAATGACAACTTGAACAAATGTAACCCAAACCTTAACCAACTATGTTTTCTCTAAGTAACATTTTCATATCCGTATGTACTCTACATTCATAAGTAAGTGAAATAAAATATAATTATTTAAGTTAATTTCCCACTGTACCTCCCTAGCATGGTGTTGGGGTGTGCAGTGAAGGTGGCGGGGTCCACCACAAAATGGCTACCGTCCACAACCAGTGTGACCCTCTCACGGTGAACGGTACCCAGGTCCATTCTTCCCTCTTTCAATACGCTCATCTCTCTGCGTCTCTTTTCCTCTAACAGACTCTCCCCTCTACTGTGGGTGGACCTGGCCACTTGGAGATCACTGTAGGATTGGCTGTTTTAAGATCTGTAAAAAAAATTAATAAGATTAGGATTATTCCTGTGGAGGACACCCTTGCAACGGGAGCTGCTCTGAGATCTGTTCCAAAATCAACAGGATTCTGATGATTACAAGAGAGAAGATTGAATGGGCTGCAAAGATATTAGCATGACAATGCTATAGACCCCATACTGTCCAGATATACCTGACTGTCAAGATTCCCCTAAAAAAGAATGACTTACAATGGTAGTCATCACCCAAAAAACCTTATCAAATGTAATAAACAGTTCACTAAATCCCTAGTTTAAACCAACATTAGATTAAGTTCTGTTGTACGAGAAGCTAGCTATTCTACATTTAAATTGACTTTAGGCCTATTGACTGTAAAAAACGATGTAGACCTTCTTTCTATTCATGAATGTGATTTCAAGAATGAGTTAATCATCAGTACATTACATTAGCCTTTCACATAGCACTACTGTTACAATGAGCAGCATACAGTGCCTTCAGAAAGTATTCATACCCCTTGACTTAATCCATATTTTGTTGTGCTACAGCCTGAATAAAAATTGGATTATTATAGATTTTTTTTCCTCACCCATCTACACACAATACCCCATAATGATGACGTGAACACATGTTTTTAGACATTTTTGCACATTTATTGAAAATGATATACAGAAGTATATAAGTATTAACACCCCTGAGTCAATACTTTTTAGAAGCACCTTTGCCAGCGATTACAGCTGTGAGTCTTTCTGAGTAAGTCTGTAAGAGCTTTCCACACCTAGATTGTGCAACATTTGCCCATTATTATTTTCAATATTCTTCAAGCTCTGTCAAATTGGTTGTTGATCATTGCTAGACAACCATTTTCAGGTCTTGCCATAGATTTTCAAGTAGATTTAAGTCAAAACTGTAACTCAGCCACTCAGGAACATTCACTGTCTTCTTGATAAGCAACTCCAGCGTAGATTTGGCCTTGTGTTTTAGGTTATTTTCCTGCTGAAAGGTGAATTAATCTCCCAGTGTCTGGTGGAAGCAGACTGAACCAGGTTTTGCTCTAAGATTTTGCCTGTGCTTAGCTCCATTCCATTTATTTTTTATTCTGAAAAACTCCCCAGTCTTTAACGATTACAAGCATACCCATAACATGATGCAGCCACCACTATGCTTGAAAATATGGAGAGTGGTACTCAGTAATGTGTTGTTTTGGATTTGCCCCAATCATAACACTTTGTATTCAGGACAAAAAGTTCATTGCTTTGCCACATTTGTTGCAGTATTACTATAGTGCCTTGTCGCAAACATGATGCATGTTTTGGAATATTTGTATTCTGTACAGGTTTCCTTCTTTTCACTCTGTCAATTAGGTTATTATTGTGGAGTAACTACAATGATGTTGATCAATCCTCAGTTTTCTCCTATCAAAGCCATTAAACTCTGTAACTGTTTTAAAGTCACCATTGACCTCATGGTGAAATTCCGTAGCGGTTTCCTTCCTCTCCGATAACTGAGTTAGGAAGGACGCCTGTATTTTTGTAGTTACTAGGTGTATTGATACACCATCCAAAGTGTAATTAATAACTTCACCATGCTCAAAGGGATATTCAATGTCTGCTTCTTTTTTCCCCCCCATCTACCAATAGGTGCCCTTCTTTGCATGGCATTGGAAAACCTCCCTGGTCATTGTGGTTGAATCTGTTTTGGAAATTCACTGCTCGACTGAGGGACCTTACAGATAATTGTATGTGTAGGGTACAGAGATTAGGTAGTCATAAAAAAATCATGTTAAACACTATTATTGCACACAGAGTGAATCCATGCAACTTATTATGTGACTTGTTAAGCAACATATTTAGACTTGCCATAACAAAAGGGTTGAATACTTAATGACTCAAGACATTCAAGCTTTTCATTTTTTATTATTTTGTAAACATTTCGAAAAAACATTATTCCACTTTGACATTATGGGGTATTGTGTGTAGGCCAGTTACAAAAAAAATCTCATTTTAATCCATTTGAAGTTCTGTCCGTAACACAACAAAATGTGGAAAAAGTAAAAGAAAAAATACTTTCTGAAGGCACTGTAAAAACTAAACATGCCCATTAAAATAATGAAACATATTTTGTGAACAGCGTAAATATTGAGTTTGTCCCAGCCCCTTTACCAACCAGAAACAACAACTTGTACATTCCTGTTCTGCTAGACAAGTCCAAATTACTGTCCTCTGAATCATCAAAGGAGTCTAGCTGTCTAAAATATAATTCAAAGTTAAATAGCCTAGACTCTCATAAAATAATAATTTGTTTAATAATTACCATAAATTCATATGTAATATCAAATGTGTTACCATAGAATTAGGAATTAGAATACTAGAATGAACATAAACCTTCTTATGGTGGTATAAAAGGTCAGCCATTTTGGTAAGGGAGTTGGTCAACCATGGTCAGCCAGTGCTGTGATAAGATATTGTGTAAAACAATGAATTTGAAGATTATCTGCACTGCATGTTTGTTAGCTAGCTAGCCAGCCAGTTTTAGAGGAATGATTCCATTAATTTTCAAAATAACTGCCAATATTCCAACATTCTATTCAAACAATGCAGTCAATCCACAGCCATACACTGGCTGGAATTAGCTGATGATAGGGCTTTTTTTGTTTGTTGACAAGTTGTAAATGAAACAAGTAGTGATATTGTATCATATAAATAACACTCACAGCTTTCCAAGAAAACAAAAATTGAGACATTTATGGTCTGTTTAAATGTATTTTAGAGGCTATTTATACAGATTTCTTTTTTAAATATATTTTATTTATAATTACATGACAATATTTTAGGTTGACAATAATTATATTACACAATTTCTGATATATCTGCCTTATTTTTATTTTCCTACATAAGTAAAATAAGGAAATGAATCACCCATTACTCTACTGTCATTCATTCCAACTAGACTGGTTTGGATTTCTCCCTCACCACAATGGCTGCCATTTTTTAACCATTCTGGAACGTTGAAGGTTTATGACAAAGCCGCTCTAGTAATTTAATGGGATCTATATGTGTGTTACAATCTACAGTATCGGCAGCGTTCTAGAATGTAATGTGGAACCTTTATTGTGGGAACACCATGTGACTTTTACATTGAAGTCTTGTAATACAGTCGCATTGTCCGTGGTCATCGTTCATAAATCGGTCCACATTAGGCTACGAGTCGATAGGCTCATGAATGTCCTGAAGGAAAGCCCTAATTCAGACAACACTGTAGTTTAAAAACGGTCTGTCAGCTATCTTTCTGCTTTCGTCTACTCTTCGTCCAGCCATTCATTTGTGTCAAATCATCGATACATTAGCTTCGTTGCCTACCCTGAGAATATAGAAATATTGCATAGTCACTTGGACTAACGCGACAAGTTGCTACATGTTGCATAGGCTACTGTATCTAAAATATCAAAACTTACGTCAGTTTCATGCCCTCGGTGCTCCGGTCTTCGGTTCAGTATTTCAAATGCGCCACGGTGCCACCTCATGAGGTTTCAAGTAACTTGAAATACCTTCGCCATGACTCAAATATGCTCCCATTAGGCTCTTTCCTTGTACTGTAAAAACTGAACCAATGATGGCCTGAACACTGCGCCTGTCATAAGGGGAAGTCTTCTAGCCTCAGCTGCGCAAGCACCTGAATGCGGCATTGAACGTGTTTGTCAATACATTTGTATCTATAATGCCATAGGTTCATATCAATGTACAGTTCAGTTGATTTTTTTCTTCTCCTAATCCAGGAATAAAAACACGTTATGAACAATGATTAATAACCTCAGTGTAACAAAGTATAGTGCCTCTACCCTTTCAAATTTGGACATATAAGAATTTTGGATAACTGCTCAGATATACACATTGTTAAATGATATATATAGCTATATTCTAAGTTGTTACTCATGTAAGATATAACATTATTTTTTTAAATGACCTAGAGATGGAGCTGCCCAGAGATTTTGCCCCAGTGGCATCATTAGGCCAACAGTCTGCCAGTTGCTAACATGTTGCCCAGGGGGTCTTGAACTGTCTACAACTCTTCTTTTCAATCCATCTTCTATTAAATCCTTGCAAGAGCTCTGTTGGTCTGGCTAAACAATTTATGTTCTCCAATGGATCACAATACATTATTTATTGCAACATGAAGAAATTGAATAAGAAATTGTGGTAAGGTCCAGCGCAATGTCAATTGACCATTTGATTTGTGCTAGGACCATAAACATGCAACCTTTTAGATTTGTTGCAAGGTGAGTGCCTTGTTCAAGTTATGTTATTTCATCAACAGGGACAACCTGTTCTTTTGGGGTTTTGAACATCATTCATGGCAAGACATGTCCCCTCTGTGACCCACTGGGTAAAAGAAAGACTGCTTTGTGCAGACTGGACATGTAGAACAACTCCTGGCATGTACAATGGATTTTAACTGGTCAGATAGAGATTTTATATTACAAATGGGTATAATGAAAAGCTGATGAATGATTAACTATACAGGGAACAAAAAGTATGTGTGTGTCCCAACTAATATATTTACAGGAAATTACCACTCTTCGACCCTCTCATTCAAGCCACTGCCTGGCACAAAAAGTATGAATGTGTTGCTGTGTGTGTGTGTCTGCCTGTCCAGTTGGTCCCACAGAAATTACTACTTGTAGACCATCACATCATCCATGTCATTTCATTTTTTATATATAAAACCAGATCAAAGGATAGGTTAAAATAAACACAGATACTGTAGAATAGGCAAGCATGCCAGGTTTAATATTATTTCAGGAAAATAATAGACATTGGAAATGCAAGGTTGCAAAGCAACTGCCTCGCCATTGCTTTTCCCTCTTTCGGAGATCACAGTTTACAGGGAATGTTTGACTGGAAACTCAGAACACGATAGTGAATACTCATGGCATTTTGAGAAAAAAAGACACATACAGAAAGATTACATCACTGGACACCATATTCTCAATTACATGGTATAAAGATGCACACATTATAATAAACCCACTCACACACTTGGCAAAGCATTTCTCTTCTGCATGCTTTTCCCACACATTATTTAAAGTAGACATGATTAGAGAAATCCATCGCAAAAAAAACTGGAACTTGACAAGAACAAATCTGGAATAAGGACACAAACACAGCCCATACCAAACCCGGTCAGGATCATTTTGTGGTTAACACTGATCATGGGGGAGACACAATATGATCATGTAAATGAGGAGGTAAGGGGATTCCTTTGATTTATATGCTACTACAAGTGGTTAACTGTAAACTATCAGGCTAACTGGGATCTTCAACTGCAGTCAAAAATAACTCAATAAACAGAAGTGGTCAGTTGACTGATCAGGCACACACCCTTAACCTGAATGCAAAATGTGGCATAATATGCATAATATGCTCAGCCATTGTCACCATATAATGTAGCATTTTTTGTCATTGGTAACACAAACATACCCATAATTTTGCACCAGTTAGACGTATAAGTGATATATCAAGGTAATTTGTCAATATGGCCATAGAGAAAAACTTTTTGGGATGGCAGGCTACGTTTTTAGACATCCCTGAAAACCATTGGTTGCCCTCTGAATTCCTCCCGTTTCTTACTCCTCTCATGGCAAGAGAACACTGGAGCTGCAATTTGTAAGAATATGTGATCAAATTAGTCTTATGGTTGAAAGGAGAGTACTCTAGTTATTGTGGGCTTATGATGTTTCTGAATAGGTATAATTCTTGGTTAAAGCACTTCTGATAGGAGGCAAAGGATCACTTTCGAATGCAACCACACTTATCATGCTACTGGGAAGAAGATCCTTTGAAAAAGTAACATTTGGCATATTTTCAATAGATGACGTTATCAACTATCAAATTCCAAAGCTTACATAGAACTTAATTAAACTGTATATAAAAATAAATAAATGGCAAAATGAAGTGATAGATTTGAACAAATAAAAAAATGTGTGCAACTTTGGGCTGGGATAGTAAAAGGAGATTATACCCTCAGCATTCAACTAAGAGGAAATCTATTGGGTAGCATTTTGATTTGCTCACAATAAGTCTCACTCCTCCAACCTCTTACTTTTGAGTGGCTAAACTAATACTGAAGATTAAAAACAAAATTAACAAAACAACTCTTCATTTGTAAGTAACTTTGATTCAGCAAAAAAATATATTGCTGCTCCTGCTGTATCTACCAGGGGGTTTACGTTGAGGGGAAGGTTTGACTTGGTGGGCTGTACGTTGGTCTCACTGAGGTAGCAGTTAGGAAGGAGAACAGTGACACAGGTTGTGCGGCGGTTGATGACTTCACTCCTCAGTCAAGGCCATGGCTTTCACAGGTACGCGGCGGAAGAAGAAGCTGGACCCTCGGAAGAGATGGCCCTGATGGGTGAGGCACAAAAAGACAGGTTTCAGACATGCGCTACCAGAGAAAAGAAAAAAAGTAACTCACTCACACACACACAGTATGAGTGGGTTCCATTTGCTCCACATAAGTGGACTGTACCTCATGGCTCAGGTGAGCCCAACAGTGTACCCAGGACTTGAAGATGGGAGAGTTAGGGGGAACACCAGCCACCAAGCTGTGAACACACAATGCAGAGATCCATTAAAAGCTGAACCCACAAGCTTAAGGATTGATCTAATGGACATCAAACAAATCAATAGAAACCGTATCCCATCAAGTCTATATATTGACTTCATATGAAAGTTGAGACAGATACAGCATTATTACTATTTTCAACTGGCACCAGCTATAGGACAGTTAAGTACAGGAAACGGACTGCAACAAGGGCATAATCCCTGGTGCTTTCTACTGTTGTTGTGCTCTTGATTTAGAGAAGATGGGCTTGCTTCAGTGAGAGATCACTGACTGGGGTATGCTTGGAACCATTATAAACTGAATCATTACCTACAGTGAGGGGGAAAAAAACCCTGCTGATTTAGTACATTTGCCCACTGACAAAGACATGATCAGTCTATAATTTTAATGGTAGGTTTATTTGAACAGTGAGAGACAGAATAACAACAAATAAATCCAGAAAAACGCATGTCAAAAATGTTATAAATTGATTTGCATTTTAATGAGGGAAATAAGTATTTGACCCCTCTGCAAAACATTACTTAGTACTTGGTGGCATATATATATATATATATATATATATACACAGTGGGGAGAACAAGTATTTGATACACTGCAGATTTTGCAGGTTTTCCTACTTACAAAGCATGTAGAGGTCTGTAATTTTTATCATAGGTACACTTCAACTGTGAGAGACGGAATCTAAAACAAAAATCCAGAAAATCACATTTTATGATTTTTAAATAAATAATTAGCATTTTATTGCATGACATAAGTATTTGATACATCAGAAAAGCAGAACTTAATATTTGGTACAGAAACCTTTGTTTGCAATTACAGAGATTATACGTTTCCTGTAGGTCTTGACCAGGTTTGCACACACTGCAGCAGGGATTTTGGCCCACTCCTCCATACAGACCTTCTCCAGATCCTTCAGGTTTCGGGCCTGTCGCTGGGCAATACAGACTTTCAGCTCCCTCCAAATATTTTCTATTGGGTTCAGGTCTGGAGACTGGCTAGGCCACTCCAGGACCTTGAGATGCCTCTTACAGAGCCACTCCTTAGTTGCCCTGGCTGTGTGTTTCGGGTCGTTGTCATGCTGGAAGACCCAGCCACGACCCATCTTCAATGCTCTTACTGAGGGAAGGAGGTTGTTGGCCAAGATCTCGCGATACATGGCCCCATCCATCCTCCCCTCAATACGGTGCAGTCGTCCTGTCCCCTTTGCAGAAAAGCATCCCCAAATAATTATGTTTCCACCTCCATGCTTCACGGTTGGGATGGTGTTCTTGGGGTTGTACTCATCCTTCTTCTTCCTCCAAACACGGCGAGTGGAGTTTAGACCAAAAAGCTATATTTTTGTCTCATCAGACCACATGACCTTCTCCCATTCCTCCTCTGGATCATCCAGATGGTCATTGGCAAACTTCAGACGGGCCTGGACATGCGCTGGCTTGAGCAGGGGGACCTTGCGTGCGCTGCAGGATTTTAATCTATGACGGCGTAGTGTGTTACTAATGGTTTTCTTTGAGACTGTGGTCCCAGCTCTCTTCAGGTCATTGACCAGGTCCTGCCGTTTAGTTCTGGGCTGATCCCTCACCTTCCTCATGATCATTGATGCCCCACGAGGTGAGATTTACATGAACATTTTAGTCATTTAGCAGACGCTCTTATCCAGAGCGACTTACAGTTAGTGAGTGCATACATTATATTTTTTCATACTGGCCCCCCGTGGGAATCGAACCCACAACCCTGGTGTTGCAAACGCCGTGCTCTACCAACATCCCTGCCGGCCATTCCCTCCCCTACCCTGGACGACGCTGGGCCAATTGTGCGCCGCCCCATGGGTCTCCCGGTCACGGCCGGCTACGACAGAGCCTGGATTCGAACCAGGATCTCTAGTGGCACAGCTAGCACTGTGATGCACAGTGCCTTAGACCACTGCGCCACTCGGGAGATCTTGCATGGAGCCCCAGACCGAGGGTGATTGACCGTAATCTTGAACTTCTAATAATTGCGCCAACAGTT